GGTTCATTATCACCGGACATCTTTTTCAAAATATTTGATTGTCAAATACAATGATTCTGTTGAATGCTACAGCCATCCTATTATATGCTTCAGAAATGTGGGGATATAAAAAATATGAATGTATTGAGAAAGTTCATCTTTCGGCTTGCAAATTATACCTAAACGTTGGACCTCGTGACACCTAACGCTATTGTGTATGGTGAATGTGGCCGTTTCCTACCTCAGACACCTAACGCTATTGTGTATGGTGAATGTGTCCGTTTCCCTGTTTTTGTAAATGCAGCTGTTCGTTGTCTTAACTACAGGATTAAAATAATAACAATGCACAAAGATCGCATACCAAAGAAAGCTTATTAAATGTTACTTTATCTCGATAACCTTGGCTATGAGACATGGACTTCAAAAATTCGCTATTTGCTCTTTTCTTATAGATTTTGATTTGTTTCGTTATCACAAACTGTTGGAAATCGTGTAAGTTTTATAGGAATCTTTAAAACGCGTTTAGTGGATGTTTTTAAACAAAACTGGAGATCCGATCTTGACAATAGCACACGTTATGTTATGTATAGAGAATTCAAAAGCTTATTAAACCCTGAAAAATACCTTTTTGAAATTGCAGATTATAAATTACGTAAATATTTAGCTAGATTTAGAGCGGGATTACCAAGGTTAAAATTTAATTAAGGACGATGGTGTAAAATTAACGCAAATTTTAGAACATGTCCTATCCGTTACGGATGTCTAGAAGACGAATACCATTTTACTTTCATGTGTCCTAGATATGATGACCTACTTCGTAAATATACTCTCCCAAAAAAGAAACGCATATAGGAATTTCAACTGTATTTTTATGTTTATTTTGAAACATCTTGTAGGCTTTATGAGTCAATGAAATATAGCGAAATTGCACACTGGGAATGCAGACTTATCCGTCTTTGGCACCAACTCGAGGAAAGTCAGTTTGAGTGTCACATGGAGACGTGTGGTGGTGCTGAAGTCAATACCTCGTGTGACCACAGTGGGCATCCAGAACTGCACGGCATCGCCTCGGCATCGAACGAATAAGTCTCAGAATCTCGTGTTGCCCAATCGCGTTCCACTCTGCCTGTAGTGCCTGTGCAAGTTGCTGAAGTGTCTGGGGCTGAGGGTTACGGCGTCGCACCCGTCTGTCCAGGGCATCCCGCAGATGTTCGATCGGGGTTTAAGTCCGGTGATCTTGAGGGCCAGGGGAGCACATTGATGTTGTGGTTCTGGAGGAAGTCTCTAGTGTGACGTGCTGTGTCGGGCCTGGCATTGTCCTGTTGAAACAACTCCCTCTGGCGATCAAGAATTGGAAGGAGGTATGGGCGTAGGATTTCGTCACAGTACCGTTGAGCCGTCAGGGCTGCCCTGGATCATCACCAAATCACTTCCCCCTCTGCCTACGGTAGGTGATCTCTCCCCACATCATAACACTTCCCCGGCCAAAACCGGTCCACCTGGGGAACGCAAGCGTCGGCGAAACGTTCACGTCGACGTCTGTACACCCACATTCTTCCATCGCGTCGTTCCAATAGAAATCGTGATTCATCACTGAACCAGATTCTACGCCAATTCGGTAGGTTCCAGGCCTGAACGTTGGTGCACCATTGAACTCGATGTCGACGATGTTGTTGTCGAAGCACAGGGCCAAAATAAGGTCTTCTGGCACGTAAACCAGCCTCTCTCAACCTGTTCCTGACGGTCTGTGCAGAAAGCCTCCTCAATCCGGGTATTTGTCGAGCGGTACTGGTCGCCGTAGCTGTTCGATGAAGCAGGTGATGTACCCGGATGTTTCAAAACATAACACCATAGGACTCATAAACAGAGCAAAACCTTTTGTAAAACGAATCACGTTTTAATTCATTGCTACATGAAATTGCTATTTTCATGATGCGTTTCTTTTTTTGGGGAGAGTATATTTAATACCATATTATACTTTTGTATTATCATATCATATGTTTATCTACTTTATCCATATTAACCTGTATCGTATGTTCTGATTACCTGTATACATGTATGCAAATGGGCGTGTATACATATATGCAAATTGTATTATAATGGATCAAACTGTATGTATATGGTCTCTGATATGGGCGATGGCCTTTGTACGGAAATACAGTTTTGATTGATACTATGTTATACTAAAAACCTTTGTTTTAAATATAATAATATATGCCATTAGTAATGATAGTTACTATTATTACTAATGGCGTATATTGTTTTCTTTAAAACAAACGTTTTTTAGGTGCTGCATGAAGAGGGGTTTAATTTTAACGTAAATTAAACTGAGATGTTAAACACTGCATCAGTGTTGCCATAACTATCTTGTAGATGGAAAAGATGTTACAGTAGCATCTGATATCTACAGTGATAATCTGAGTGAGTAGATGAGTAGACCCGGTTTGTGTTCCTTGTCTTGCTGCGGGGCATATTGTCTTAAACTTATAATTCACTTCATGCATTTTTTCTGATACAATCCTAATACAATTGTACACCGAACAAATGGAGGGCAGTGCATAGGCTGCATCCTGTAAAACACGTTCCACCTGGTCCCCTTACAACACTGCTTAGTTGCCCGTATGCAAGAAGTGGGAAATTTCAAAATGGCCGCCGATCTAATATCTTCGTTGATTTCTTGATTCTCGTTTTGCCGCATCAAAGTGCCAAGGCTCAGTGAGGCTGTATTTGTGTGACTGTTTTTAAGGCCACTTATTATGCAAAGTGTTACCATTTTGACATTGGAATAACGAATCTAAATTGAAGTATAGAAGGACACAAATACCGAAAAGACGGCTCTGTCCAGAAAACGCAGTATGCTTCTATCTTGAAAAACAGTTATATTTTCCCCGTGTATTCAAGGCTTTCAATTCATTCAACAATAAAATCATATTTACGATCTGTAATATACATGTGCTTCACAGCCACAATCTTACAGAAGTAGAAATACACAAGTAGAAATCGATGATCGATTTTGTTTGTATCGCGTGCACTTTAAAAATCCACACCAACATTTGGCATTAATGAAAACGAAAGAGTGATAATGTGTGCACAAATCCCGCCATTCGCTAGACTAGACCACTTACCATTACTCCAAGAACTAAGTACTTTGAATGATTGTAGTTCGTTTAGTGCAAACAGGAGCACATTATTACGCATGATCGGAGCTATGGAAGAGCGAAGTGCATGCTAAACGATAAATTAAGACTGTAGGTATGATGTTGCTCCCTTATCAGGAGTTCATTACGGCCATCCAGCACCTTGTCACGACTCATTATTCAATATGTTGTACAGATATTTTTCATTTGTTTCATTTTTGACGACTCTAAACATCGAGATAGGCGTTTGCTTCAGCGATGAATCTCGTTTCCTCCTGCAATGGGATGAGAGACAAGGTGTCTATCGACGTCGACAGGAACGCTTTGCGCCGAACTGCGTTCGACATTTGGACAGATTTGAGGAGAGAGCGTCGTGGTGTGGGGAGACATGTCCTACACGGGCAGATCAGAGCTAGTGGCGGTTCAAGGCATCACATCGACCAAATCCTGCCACCTCACGTCCTCCCACTTTTTAACCACCAGAGGGAGCTGTTTCAACACGACAACGCTCGACCCCACACAGCTCGTGTAACAGGTGTCTATCTCGCCAGTGTCCTTCCCTGGCCTTCCAAATTGCCTGATCTGAACCCGATCGAGCATTTATGGGTTGAACTCGATCGACGCGTCCGTAAACGTCATCATCGTCCTCTTGCGGAACCACTTGCAGAACTTGCTAACGCATTTCAAGAAGAAGAATTCTCCAAGCAAAACTCCGACGACTTAATGCTGACAATGACAACAATACTGTAATCTATGTTCAAAGTTAATCGACTTATGTACACTTACGTTTAATACATTTCCTTATTTTTGGCCTCTGCGTTTCCTTTTTCAAGAGTTTACACCAAGTATCATTATATTATTAAAGTGATGCAAGTATACACTCTCCTAGTGAATCATGTTTTTCATTGAATAATTACAGTGCCAACTCTTGAATCGGAAGTTTTGGCATCTAAGGTAAATGACCTTTCACGAATTATTCAAAGAGTTTTATTGATAATGAAACATGAACGCACAGGCCAAGAAAATTAATGTATTAAACGTATTGAAGTGTACATAAGTCGATTAAGCTTGAACATAGATGAAGTCACCCAGGATCACCCAGGACACCACTTTACTTTGCAGTGAGAACGTACTCTGGTGTCCTCATGGAAATTCATTTTTTACAACGAATTTTGTGGGGGTTTTCACCAAAACCTTAACTTTACTCAAACCACATATTTCACCTGGTGGTGGACATTTCGCTCTGTTTATCCGGTTCAGGAGAGGCCCCTAACATGTGGTAACGTGCGACTATACTGTAAACCGGAAATATTCTGCGCCTTGAAAATATAGCGTCAGTGTACCTCCAGCCTGTTCTGTATTATTTTTGCGAGAGTAGTAGGCTTTGCAAAACAACATTGTTAACTAAAACTACATTGCTTCTGACATCAAAGGTATACAGGTTTCAGGGATACAGGATGACAGGTTTCTTATTAATCCCTTTGATCTCAAAAGTATAAACTCAGTTCTAAGTTGTTTTTGCTGAGCATTGTATTATTTGCAGGGATTTGACGCAGAGTATTTTCGGTTTACAGTACTTGATCCATGGCACAGTAAGATTCGTGAAGATGGTTCCCTGTTTTACTGATGACCCAGAATCACTGATTTGTTTGTCGTGATATGGATGGAACATTGGCGCCCCTACCCCCTTCACACACCCACGCACGCACGCACTCACTCACATACACGGACACACGCACAACCAAACAAATCAGTGATCACGTTAGCTGCAATACACTGGATGGATCCACACAGACCTCTCGATCGATCGCGAGACGCACCCAGTACCTCCAAGGAGACAAATGAATCATTCAGACAGACCACGCAAGTTGAGCGACGTTGAACACTGCTGGCGGAACCTACTGAGATGACGAGCTTGGCGTTACTGTATGTTGTACCTCTTCTGTGTCGTAAGTATATTCCTTAAAGACTTGTTATGATTAGTGGAGCAGTAAGGCGACTAAACTGGTTCCAAGTTTAAGAAAGCAATGACAAGAAAAAATCGTTTTCTAATTTGTTAACTTTAGTGACATGTAAAAGTCAACGAAAGTCTCGATTATATTGGACGGATTCGGGAATTATTTGAATGGAACATAGTCACATCACGTGTTCGCAAAACGGCTTGTTCCGTTCTCCTGTTAGTTCTCGTCACTCATGCATTCGCATAAGACTAAGTAAACCTACATCAGAGACGGGTGCGAAAAGTGATAGTGATGCTGCTGCTGCTGCTGATGATGATGATGATGATGATGATCACGACGACTATGATGATTTGTACCATGTCGCAGTTTAAATATTTTACATGTCCATTCCCTAGTTAAACCATGAATGAAACCAACAAACAACAAAGAAATATGGTATAATTAACGATTTTATTCTAAAAATTACTAAGTTTACAAATCATTATATAGCAGTACAAAGCAGGTGCAAAATAGAGATGGTGTACAAATTCAGTCTGTGTAATATAAAAGCAGTGGTGACAGCAACAAAAGACAATAATGGTACTAGCCTCGCTGTAACAGTGGTCTAGCTTCCAAAATAGGCCTCGACAGAGTATCCAGGGTAAAGAGTGATCTCCACACACCTGCCGATCTTCATGTAACGTGAAATATGATGTGAGATAGTTCCGCACCTTCTATGTACGAAACGTTTCCTGAACTTTCAATAAATCTCTAGGTCAGCTTACACTGGAACTTTTCATAGGCCTAGAAATTTCTACACCAGACTTGAATACACAATGCCTTTTAGAAACTGGCCAAATACAACATATATTGTAGTTTCGGTATTACGCTTTCTCAGTATTTGTAATCGTTTTTCAAAGACTAACATACATATCATCGTACATAAGATTGTCATATGTCTTCTTAGGGATTCTTACCCGTGAAGCTCTGGGTTAGAATTGATCTTCAGTAACCCATGATTGTCGTTAGAGGTGACTAACGGGATCGAGTGGTCAGACTCGCTGACTTGATTGACACATCTCATCGGTTCCCAGTTGCGACGATCGATGCTCATGCTGTTGATCACTGGATTGTCTGGTCCAGACTCGATTATTTACAGACCGCCCCAATAAAGTTCGAATAAAGCAGAATGCGGCGTAAAACTAAACTAACTCACTCTTTGGGATTCTATCGCTGTGCATTTCGTAGCTGTTCGATTCTATCGCTGTGCATTTCGGGTATAAGTTATAAGTATTTTAATTACATCGCGACAGACAGCATGTATAAGGAATAACAGAGGACTTATAGTCTTAACGATTTCAGCCTTGTTTCACAGAGCCGAATGCCTTTCTGAAGAGGTCAGTCTCCACTTTTCACCACACACCAGACGATATATCGCTGCATCTCACACGTGTTTGGACCATTGATACAGATGGTATTGGTCAGAAATTTGAGAATTTGTGCGTTTTCTCATCATAGGGTCATTGAAAATTACTTTTATTTTGTGTTTAAATGCCCGATTCATGATTTGAGACATGAATATTTTCCATGAATATAGTAGAAAACAAAGGAAACGCATATGTATACACTCAATTCCAAAAGTAGGATATTTTATGTATCTTACTTCTCAAAGACTGAAGGACCTCAATTAAGTGTCCTAAACATGTTATTAATGCCCTATCTATACGTTCCTCAATAACATTGTAGTATATCTATTATTTGTACAGCCTTCTAACCACCTCCACCACGTTATATGCATTTATTCTTCTTATGAAATGTATTTGGGCCAATGGCCTTGTTACTGAAAAGCAGAATCCTTGTAAAGAAATTAGTAAAGTCGACAATAATGGTCAAGCCGTGATCAGACTGCTTCGAGTGAGTGAGCATGGTTTTACCCGCTTTTAGCAATATTCCAGCAATATCACGGCGGGGGACGCCAGAAATGGGCTTCACACTGTCCCCACGTGGGGAATCGAACCCGGGTCTTCGGAATTCGGTGTGACGAGCCAACTCTTTAACCACTAGACTACACCACCGCCCCCAGACTGCTTAGAACAGATGCTAATAGTATTGTTTCTATGAACATACAGTTTGTATAATCAATACTTGAATTGTTCTTCTGATGTGAGGTGAGGTGAGTACAGCTCAATTCAAACAAAAAGACACACAAAAATGTCTTTAAAATAATATATCTTACAAAAAGCTTTAAGCATTGAAGCATTAGAAACAGCGGGTAGACATAAGAACTCGACTTTGACTGCAGACACCAGTATTTAAACGACTATATCTTTTGTTATGGATTGATTCCCAAGTTGAAAGTGAAACGATATCCGTAAAAGAACAAACAACACAAGCAATGCTGTAATTAAGAAATTATTGTATTCCCAAATTCACAAATCAATAGAAATCACTAGGGCAGTACAAACTAGAGAGGAAGTACAAGTACAACGACAGTATAACAGCAATAAATCACTGCAATAAAGACAATGATGATATTATTCATCTCTCAGTAACAATAATTCATCTTGGAAGAAAGGGCTAGATAGAGTGTACTAGGGTATAGCAAAGTGTGATAACACAAAATGCCGGTCTTCTAGAGGCTTGAGGTGAAATGTGACAGGAGGCATGAGCTACCCATTAGGCAGATGTTTCTGGAGTAAGGTCCTTGTAGTCCTTTCCAGATCATTCTACCTAAATCTGGTAAAATCTAAATATACTCTCCTTAAATCGAAACGCACGGGTGATATTGACCTTTGAAATTTCAAATATCTTTTTCAAAATTGGTGTTTTATTGTTATAATTTTGACATTCTAATGCTTGTTTGTGTACGTGGACCGAATGTACAGCGTCAAAACTTATCGTCGGGAACTTTGAAGACTGTGTTCCTTAGCTGTGAACTTGCATGAACATGTCATGGAGAAAAGTGGTTCGCAATATACACGACCGGTTTTGAGGAATCGTGAGCAGGGACATTGCCCGTTTAAGGCCGTTTTGATTTTAGACGGTCATTGGCATGTTTTAGCTGAATGAATGAGTGAGTGAGTGAGTTGTAGTTTTACGCCGCTTTTAACAATATTCCAAACACATCACATCGGGGACCAGAAAGGGCCTTCACACTTTGTACCCATGTGGGGAATCGAACCCGAGTCTTCAGCGTGACGAGCAAACGCTTTAACCACCACCCTACAGCACCAACTCTTCTTGTTTCGAACAATTAGTACACTGTTTTCACATGTTTTAATACCAGATAATATGGATCATAGCTTTTCTGACTTAAAGGCGAATTAAGTGAATACTCTTTCTACATGCTATAATACCAGATTATATAGATAGTAGCGTATCTGACGTGAAAGAGAGTTTGCATTGTCATTTAGATTCAAAAACAAGATAATGAAATATCCACGGGAAGAATTTCATAACTGATTGACAGGATTTCCTTGCTACATTCTATCCACACATTATATGAATCTAGATCAATACGTCTCTTCTGTGATGATGTATATCATTTAACAACAAAGCAAAGAATTATTAAATGTTTAAAATAAATACACTAATCTGCTGAGGCCTGTGATACTAGTAATTGTGCAAAGTAAACATTAACAAGTAGATGTTCATTCCTGCCCCTAAATGGACCTTATTTCCATCATACCTGTATCCATGTTAAAGACATATCGATCAATACATCAGAGATGAAATGGAGTGTTACGGGTCATATTTATTCAGCTATATACAACCGGAGAACCGTTTTCAATAACATCCCAAAGCATACCATTTTATTGTATTCTGTATTTTAAAATAATAGTACTTAGGAAAACATTTATATCCATAATCCGATCGGAATTTTGTTTGGCAGACATCTCTTTGTTGTTGCCGCGGCCACCTTTACAGAAGTAATGGGGTGCAAACAAACTGATGGTTTCACAAAGCAATTTCAAACTGTCCTTCTGATTTCCTGACTATTTATTAAACAAATCCCATTAAGCAGAACAATCAAGAGGCGGGGCTAAAAAGCTGGAAATTGATTTTCTTTGCATAATTCATTCATTCCTCTTTATCAGTAAATGAATCATTCCGAAACTATGCTTAAATCTATTTCAGGATTTGACAAGAAGTAGACTCTTTACTGTAATGGATGTTCTTTTGTTGTGTTAGTGAACAGCACTTAGCTTCCGGCTGGTAGTACGCTTGTTTTCAGTCAATTCTATAAAGGTTTTCATGTGTACAATAGCTTGGGGTCAATCTTTCAAAAGTGAAAACAAATGTCGTCTGATCTTTACTGAGAACACAATATCTGGAATTCTTGAATCATAAATACTGTTACGGTTAATAAATTGCCTTGTCAAAAGGTTTAAGAATCCCATTTGAACCAGCAAAATAGAACAGACAAGTCTAAAATATTCAATAATATATTGAGCACACAATGAGCAAGTTACAATGAATCACAATACAGATATTTAGTACAATGCAATTGAGTCACAAATCTAAAGTAATGGGCCACAAATATAAAATATTAACTCACCAGAGTCTGGACATTTACAATGAGAGAAGATATACTAACTGAAGGTTGTTTACAATGTCAGTGACAATCGGTCTTGACGATGTTGACAGACAGACGACGACGACGGTAGGCAGATGACGGCAGACAGATGTACACGATCCCAGTGATATGATGTGTTAGTCCGTGTGTGTGTGTGTGTGTGTGTGTCAACACAACAACCAGCCTTTATATAGCTCTTACACAGTATCATTATCCACTCAGAACTTTATGCGATTTTCTCGAACATAGACCTGTCAAAATGAAACTAAAGCCAAGGGAGGCAACTCTGGAGCGCTATCTCAAAAGGCGTGCCGCTAAAATACTATTGCCATTGAACATATATATGATACGAAATGTAACCCACAACCCACACTCAAAACTTTAAACATTGTGACCCAATAGCAACTATCACTTAATCAATGATATTACTTTTTCCAAAAAACACAATCTCGTAACAATACGCCAATGTGCAATCTGGAGGGTAGGGTGGCTTTTTAGGCAAGAATTAGACATTCTCACGTCACCACTTGTTCCGACCTTTGCTGATCTTTTCTATGTCGTCTTCTTCTTCTTCTTCACAAGACCAGTATCCACGGTACATCACTGACATCCTAGCGAGGGTTGTTGTACCACATGTCCATGACCATCCTCTGAACACAAGCCCTGTATCCGACCAGTACCCGCGGTACATCAGTGACATTCTAGAGAGGGTTGTTGTACTTCATGCCCGTGACCATCCTCTGTACACAAGACCAGTTTCCACTGTACATCACTGATGTCCTAGACAGGGTTGTTGTACCACATGTCCATGACCATCCTCTTTCCACAAGACCTGTATCCGACCAGTTTCCACTGAACATCACTGACGTCCTAGACAGGGTTGTTGTACCACATGTCCATGACCATCCTCTGTACACAAGATCTGTATCCGACCAGTATCCACGGTACATCAGTGACATCCTAGAGAGGGTTGCTGTATCACATGCCCGTGACCATCCTCTGTACACAAGACCTGTATCCGACCAGTATCCACGGTACATTACTGACATCCTAGAGAGGGTTGTTGTACCACATGTCCATGACCATCCTCTGTACACAAGATCTGTATCCGACCAGTATCCACGGTACATCAGTGACATCCTAGAGAGGGTTGTTGTATCACATGCCCGTGACCATCCTCTGTACACAAGACCAGTATCCACGGTACATCAGTGACATCCTAGCGAAGGTTGCTGTACCAAATGTCCATGACCATCCTCTGTACACAAGTCCAGTTTCCACTGTACATCACTGACGTCCTAGACAGGGTTGTTGTACCACATGTCCATGACCAGCGAAAATGGAATGTATGTAGTGGTGCCAAAAACATTAGCGACACAGGAATAGAATTAAAAGTCTTCGTTACTCTACATGAATACAGAAAAGATATCTGAATGCACAGTGCTTAAAAACTGACATGGCACATAGATCTGTTTAGAAAATGATACTCTTTTCCGAAAGTATATTTCGCGAGAAAAAGGACAAAGGTCGTAAACATTTTTTAACCAGGACTAGATTAGCAATGATATGATGCTTTATCTAATGTAGTCAAATTATTGACTATATGTAATTTCATGCCCTCGTGTCATGTCCGGTCATAACGTCATATTATTATAATGATCTTACATTGTAAAAGAACGATGCATGTGAAGAATAGTATTTTGGCACTATACTTGCGGGTTTTAGGACGCGGCTGAGGATCTAACAACCAAACAATACTAAAAACAATACATATCTTCCATACAACTTTACCTGCGATTTTGATAACTTTCTTCTGGGACAAATACACAAAATGGTCTAAGCGCCACGGTTATCGTATGTCCTGGTTTGTCTTAAGGAGCTGTAAGGCAGCCTAAAGTACTGTTGGAAATAAAAAAAACCTGTTGTTAGGCTATTTCGCTGTGTCCCTAAAATTTACACAATTAAATACATTGTAACTGGCTTATATCATATATAATAAAAATCAATGCTTAATAGCTATTTTCTAGGTAAATAAAGGGGGAAAAACAAATTATGTATTTACATGTACATGTATATCATTGGATTTATTATATTCAGTACAATAATATGTTTATTATTGCTGGGACCAAAAAGATTACCAGTAACAGCAACAGTAAAAGGATGTTAGTTGTCAACTGGCTAATGACAGGTTGATTGGCTATTTTAGTCCAATATGGAGAGAAGATGTCGGATTGTACAGATTAATAGTGACATGGGGACCAGAAAATGTTGTCGGAATACGGAATGTACAGATGTCAGATAATTCAATGTTTAAATGATGATAATGTAGAAGAACGCTGCCGGGACCACAAAAATATGTCGGAATTCACAAATTGTCGGATAATTCAGATTTCGGATTATACTGTAGCGTATGTTGAAATAACCCACATCGGCCTAACTTGGCGTTCAGTCAGATGCTTAACAGGATATCAAGAAGAGCATGTTTACTCGTAAAATCGGCCAAATCGTAGAAAAAAATACGTGTAGCTGCTGAAAACAACAGATCAGACTATAGAAGGCAATTAGGTCGCTCAGGCAGATCTGACGACGGACCGTCGACTCACATGGCATGAAATACATGAGGTACAAGGGGCCATCTCAAAGATACTTATGCTTTTTCATGTGTGTTGAATATGTCTCATCTATTGATAAACATCTTGCGTGTCTTTATTTAATAAGGTTTATGTGAAAGAGTATGATACCAACAGAAAAGCTTAAACCAGCCATCGTTTTAAATGTCTCAAAATTTATAGGTAGCATCACAGGCCTGGATATTATTTGTAAATTGTTATGATATGCCGTTTACCTCCCCAGTTTAATTCCCCTACAGGGTTATCTTATCTTAACTGGTATCTCTATCCAAATATCTACCCGGGCCGACCCCAACCACTGTCTGCCACACCCGTCCTGGTTTTTGCTTTTGAGACGACCCCTCCTACCTGTTTCTTTTTATAGTGACAGTGAGACTCCCGGATATAGCTACACCCTTAATAGTTTCAGTATTAATGTTATCATTTTACCTCAGCTATCGTTTAAAATGAAGCTAAGTCTAATTTCAAAATGGACATTTAAAAGTGTCCTTTGTAATACAATATCATCGCACACTGATTTGCATGATGCCATCGTCTGTTCCAAAAGAGTCGCTTTGGACTTCGAAAAAAATCCGCATTGCTCATTTCTGCACTAATCTGTCCTCAGTACAGTCCATTTTGTACCTTTCTTATCTCCCTACCACTGAAACTGTAGTTAGGCCGAACTTAGTTTAACAGATACTTTACACTTTCACATGTTAACTACATTAATTGTAGATATAAACGTGAAAAAAAACAGGTTTTTAAAAATTTCCCACAGTACTTTAGTGGTATCGGTTTCGATTGCCACGTGGGGATAGTGTGTGGAGCCATATTCTGGTGTTCCCCGCCGTGATATTGTTGGAATATTGCTAAAAGTGGCGAAAAAACACTCCAGTGTTAAATCTGTGTTTGAGTTGATTGTTGCGCATGATCGAATTGCGTACGTGGACCCTTGTCAATAGAAATAGGGTTCACAATCTGATAAGGAGCAACACTTATGTAAGGTTCATCATTGACGCCAAAAAATGTAGTAGAAATATGTCACAGTGACGTAGACGAGTGAGCAAGTCAAAACATTGATTCCTGCTGACTGGGTTCCGTCCTATTGCGCAACTTTGTACAATAACCAGTCCAGAATTTTGAGCCCAACTCATTCAACTGGATATATATATATATATATATATCATATATCATATATATATATATTAATCAGCATTATGTGATACATCTAATCACTTGTTCATTGCAACACTACGCTCCTTCTAATCCTTGCAAACAATTACATGATTAAGATGGCAGAGTAATATACATCCAATGAAAAACCAAATCTGCAGTTTGCAGAAATTTACAGTTTCCAGTTTCAGATTCCGCAGAAACAAACCTGGCACTAAACAAGCATGCTTTTCAAAGTTCTGAGTATGGGGACTCAGCTGTAGACACGGGCGCTGAGAACGCCGTGGACGGCAACACAAACGGCGATTGGTATGCCAACTCGTGTACAACCACCGCCAGTCATGACACAAGCACCTGGTGGTTTGTGGACTTGCTGGAGGCGTATGAAGTCACCCAGGTGATAATGTGGAACAGAGTTAATCATTGTGAGTGGAAAATTCATTTATTTGATTACTTTCAGCCAAATAATCATGCAACATTGTTTACAGTTTTCACCGTTACACATTTTTTTTAAAAATATATATCATTAGCTCCCGTCCGTGCCGTAATCCATGATCGAATCCCAAATGGCTTGTTATTGCGATTCTTGGATTGTAGCTATACCCTTAAATGGTATTAAAGAAGAAAACAATTGACGTTTGCATCAAGCTTTCCTTCAACATCTTGTTACTATGTAACCGAAATGCTGTTCAAAACGCCATTGACACTCACTAATCAATAATTAAATTATAAGAATTAATCTTTGCTTTCTCCCAGCAAAACATTGTTGGTGGGATGTTGTTTAATTACACACGATGATTCATATACTAAAGCAGATATTGCAAGATACTTCAAGAAAGCTTGTCTGTACACATTTTGATAATAATTCATTCTTGTAGTATACACGGAGGAGCAATAAAAAGTAAACGCAGTTCATGTTTATTCAATTTTATAATTGAAGGGACTGTTGTTAAATGTGATTATGTCGGTGCTCATTCATACATCACTTTTTTAATTAACCTGGAGCAATTTTCTGTAAAATATATTGGGTGAACGAAGGCTTAGGTAAGATATCAACTGACAGTTATATGATCCTTAACATGAAATTGTTAACTTATTGAAATTGTGCCGAAAAGGGCAAATTTTAAAAAATATACATGATGTATCACATCACATGTATCAGCAATTGTGTTTCATACTTTTGTTTCATTAGGTGTTAAATCGAGATAGAAATAAAACCACGTTCGCATATTTTTAAAATGCTGACTCAGCGCTAGTACAGTTCATTTTTTATGTAATATGGATAACATGATATATTTTCAATTGCAAATCAATTGCAAACTTCTGATAACATCATCTAAGATAAATAGTTTCTATTGATCCTAAGCTGTTATAAATTATCTTCCTATCATATAAACAATGTGACTAGTTGTAGGGTGAATGTCTTGAACTCCTTAAATCACACTCGACTGACCCTTCCAGGTTTCTGTATGAAATGTATTTGTTGTAGTAATAATGTGTGTATTTGTATCTAGCGCTACATCCAGGTACTAGTACCTGCTCTTGGCGCTAAAATACCATAGGAGAAAGTAGTTACAACTATATACAACAGACTAAGAGAGACACCTGAATAAAGAAAGTCTAATGATAGGCAAGACGGAAAAAGTGGGGTTTTAGAAAAGATTCAAATGTGTCCATAAATTCAACATTCTTGATGTGAGTGGGCAGGCTGTTCCAGAGACTAGTGGCAGCGTGTTGGAATGATCTTTTCCCATTTGATGAGTCGAACTTTAGGCATGACAAGTAGTTGGTGATTCTGGGATCGTAATAGTCAGGTTGGGATGTACTGACACAGAAGACTGGATAGGGAATTCAGGTGTTTGTCCATGTAGAGCTTTAAAGGTGACAGATAGAATTTTGAAGTCAATCAGGAATTTGACAGGCAACCGCTGCAGAGACATCAATGAAGGTGTGATATGACTTTTCTAGGACGTAAGGCAGACGATTTATATATAATGAACCACAAAAAAACGTCGCCATTCAAAACCAAATGCAAAATTTTGTTCTTACAAGGTGGTGTTTTATATTATGATTGTACTGATTTGTAAACATGTTGTTCAATCCAAATTGACAGTTATTACCAACACCAGTGTGTTTTCTGATAAAAAAGCATATCGACCAAACGCACCGATACAGGTAGACATGGTAAAAAGTTCCGTATGACATTCGTGAAAATAAAAAAGCATGTGCATGTTGTTACAACCCTACCAATGAGAGCGAGTCCCAAACTCGCCTGAAATCATTTTTGTTTTGACACAGTCACCATGTCACGACTTACGAGAAATCAGAGGAACCAAGTCTTGGGACGATTGCAAGTTAGCCAGACTGCACGGAGGGTAGCCAATCATTTAAATGTTCATGTTAGGTCAATCTACCGACTGCAGGAATGATATCAGGCTACTAACAGCATCCAAGACCGTTCATCACAATGGACGACCTTCAGTAGAATCACAACGTCAAGACCGACACCATCTGCAGCATCACTTCTGCAGAGCGACGGAAACAGCAGGTCGTAACGACTTGACCTGAGATTCTAACAATTTGATTGGATAACCGATGCCCTCTACATTAGGTCACATTCTGATGTAACTATTCTTTCATTCATAACAAAGACGTGAATTTATTCATTCTACAACTTAAATGCATTGTGGGAATGTAAACATCGCGAACGTTGCCGTGTCGCTGATTAATTGTGAGTCGAACTGAGACAATATATCCGTCGAAAAACATAAACACAATGTTTCCACCAGTGATGTTAGCCGAATGAAGCAACTGCAAACCAAGAAACGGGGTGCTACGGAGTAGTTTACTGTACGAGGCTGTACGAGGCGATGACAACTGGCATGCATCCTGACGTCGGTTACCAAGGCAGTGACATCATTACAGTGTGACGTCATGCAAATATTGCACTACAGTACAAAACTCTTCCGCAACCTCTTTATGAAACCGGTTTCGGTTTGAAACCAAAAAATAACAAAAATACGCTATTTTGTCAATTTAATGCATGTAAGAAGTGGGTAATAAATCGAATACCACACTCGGTCTCATTATATACGAATTATACGAAACTCGTGACCTTCCTATGTTATCTGACCTCGCTTTCGCTCGGTCAGATACCATAGGAAGGACACTCGTTTCGTATAATTCGTATGTAATGAGACCTCGTCTAGTATTCTCTGTATACAAACATCGCTCACACCATTGTATTGTAACATCGTCAGCTGAGATGACGTCATTCAAATCATACTGTGACGTAAAGTCCGAATGACGTCACAAATGAGCAGTTCCAGATGCTACCATGGGAGACAGCCGAAACGGCCGGCTGATGACATTGCACTGCTGTACCCGTACTAGATGTCAATGAGTGCAGACACAAAAAACGTGTGTAGACCTTTTGGTTTACTTTTGTGTTTACAATGTCGATAAACATGATGTGTTGGCCAATTTCCGGATGTTATTGAGTATTTGAAGCACGGAAATATTCCTTTTAAAACCTCCGGCTGAAGCCGTCGGTTCCAAATGAATTCCCGTGCTTCAAATACTCAATAACACCCGGAAATTGGCCAACACATGATGTTTATCTCCTAATTGTCCAGTTTGAACTCAGTCCTCCGTTTAAATTGTTCATTAGAGTGAATTAAAGTTTGTGCTTTAAGAAACCGCTATTGGTGCGACATTTCTTTTGTGGTTCAGTATATAATAGTGCCTCGTTGCCTTCTACAGCGGGACGTCTGAGAAACCTGGTTGTGGAGGTATCTAGCGTCAACCCTGCAACGTACCCTTCTGCATACAGAAAACTCTGCAGTAGATTTCCAGGAATTGCCGGAGCCCAAGAGAACCTGACTTGTAACTCCCCTGTGATTGGCCGATTTGTAAGAATCAGTAAGATTCACGTGCACGGGACTATCCCGTTCCTAACCCTCTGTGAAGTGGATGTAAGAGGGAATCTGTTACAAATAGGTATGACCAATTGGTATATTGATGAAATATTCTTCTAAATCGTGTTCTGTTCACGTTGAAATATTTCAGTTCGGTTGCACTTGTTGTAAGCGTAACACATAAAATCTATCTGAGCTTGGAAATGTCCCCAATATCCTGAAACTACGGCTGAAGAAAAAAGCATGACTTCTTTGAGAAGCATTGTTTGATAATGGTGCTAGAACCTACACCGTCGTTCTCACTGTAATAAGGAATCTGTCCATCATAATCATTGTTACCCTTCAAAAATGGCAAATGACTAAAAGAAAAATCCTTCCATATCGGTTTTATCACCTCCCCTCATCTCACCTGTAGCAAATTGAATCATACATCACTGTTGCAGATGTCACCGAGTCAAACGTGGCCTTACACAAGGTGGCCTACCAGAGTTCTGATTACCCCAACCCCGACACCGGTGCGGGAAATGCAGTTGACGGCAACACCGACGGAGCCATAGGTGGAAACTCCTGCACAAGCACCGCTGACGGCGACATGAACGCGTGGTGGCTGGTGGACTTACTAGATGTGTACGAGGTCACCAACGTAACACTGTGGAACAGAGACATTGGCGGTGAGCAGCGACTTAAGGGCAGACCACATACTTTGAGCAGGGTGTGGGGTAGGGGGACGAAGGTTGTAGATGTATACGAGGTCACCAATGTAACACTGTGGAACAGAGACATTGTCGGTGAGCAGCGACTTAAGGGCAGACCTTTGAGCAGGGTGGGGGTAGGGGGACGAAGGTTGTAGATGTGTACGATGTCACCAACGTAACACTGTGGAACAGAGAAATTGCCGGTTAGCAGCGACTTAAGGGCAGACCACATACTTTGAGCAGGGTGGGGGTTAGGGGGACGAAGGTTGTAGATGTGTACGATGTCACCAATGTAACACTGTGGAACAGAGACATGTTAGGTGAGCAGCTACTTAAGGGCAGACCACATACGTTGAGCATGGTGGGGGGTAGGGGGACGAAGGTTGTAGATGTGTACGATGTCACCAATGTAACACTGTGGAACAGAGACATGTTAGGTGAGCAGCGACTTAAGGGCAAACCACATACTTTGAGCAGGGTGGGGGTAGGGGGACGAAGGTTGTAGATGTGTACGATGTCACCAATGTAACACTGTGGAACAGAGACATTGCCGGTGAGCAGCGACTTAAGGGCAGAACCACATACTTTGACCAGGGTGGGGGGTAGGGGGACGAAGGTTGTAGATGTGTACGATGTCACCAATGTAACACTGTGGAACAGAGACATGTTAGGCGAGCAGCGACTTAAGGGCAGACCTTTGAGCAGGATGTCGGGAAGGGGGACGAACGTTGTAGATGTGTACGATGTCACCAATGTAACACTGTGGAACAGAGACATTGCCGGTGAGCAGCGACTTAAGGGCAGACCACATACTTTGAGCATGGTGGGGGGTAGGGGGACGAAGGTTGTAGATGTGTACGATGTCACCAATGTAACACTGTGGAACAGAGACATGTTAGGTGAGCAGCGACTTAAGGGCAGACCACATACTTTGTGCAGGGTGTGGGGTAGGGGGACGAAGGTTGTAGATGTGTACGATGTCACCAATGTAACACTGTGGAACAGAGACATGTTAGGTGAGCAGTGACTTAAGGACAGACCACATACTTTGACCAGGGTGGGGGTAGGGGGACGAAGGTTGTGTGAGGGGGTGGGGAGGAGCAGCTCTAGATCTACGATTCTGCCTGAGTAAATAGGGTACGTACCTATGTGAAACAAACTAGTGAGTGCTTTAGTTGAGTTTTACGCCGCTTTCAGCAATATTCCAGCAATATCACGGCGGGGGACACTAAAATGGGCTTCACACATTGTACCCATTGTAGAGAGTCGAACCCGGGCCTTCGACGTGACGAGCGAACGATGTAACAACTGGGCTACCCTACATCCTCGAAACAAACAAAAAATGAATTTAATGAATAATCGATTGTGCTCTTATGTATTTTGTTGTCTACATTGTGTTTTGGACCTTTAGTCTGGGTCACACCAAGGTAGTTCTTAGTACGTCCTGCTCCGTCCAAACATTTATTGTAAAACAGGCTCGAACGGCATAGAACGTGTAACTGTTGTAAATATTACGATACCTGGTCGATCATAAACAGTTATCCGTACGTCTACTCCGATGGTCCCGTGTGGACAACGTTTTCAAGCAGTTCAATCCCGTCCTTAATCAGTTTGTATCTATTCTGAACTAGACGTATCCCGTTGTTAATACGCAAAACTCATTTTCAGGCAGTTCTTCCCATTTGCACTACGTTCTCACTCCGTTCTCACACGTTCTTGGCCGTTCTCATTCACCGTTCTCAGTTTCAAGGTGGAAACACCGACATCACCATGCCTCCAAGGAAGTGGAAGGGTGGACCAAGAAGACGGAGCTCCTCCATCAGTTGATGATAATGTCCCACTCCTATTCCCCTCAGGTTTAAGCCAGTTCCTCACCCAAAAAGTTCTTGTTTCTCTCCTCCTTTCTTGCACTACCAGCTCATTGTAGCAACTAACTATTTGACGTAATGCGGTCGAGTTAGATCTGTCTGGGAACGGAATGGACGTGGTGGAAGCTGTGTACAAATGTATTGCAAATGATGCCCGACTGCTCTACGTCCGCACACGGACCAGTAAGATTAAAGTACGACAATTTTGTTCGTGGTACGGCAATTCCGTTCTTAGTTAGGGCAATCTCGTTTTAAGTACGCAGTCACTCCGTCCAATTTTAGAACGGGTAGGACGTTGGACATGTTCAACGTTCCCTAGTCCGACCGAGCCCGTCCGTACAGTTCTTAAACAGACCGTAAACAGGTGCCACTACGTCCAGTCCGTTTGCACACAGTTCGAGCCCGATCCGAACATTTTACAAAAACGTACTGAGAACGTGTTTGGTGCGATGGGAATATAAACCTTGCAATGTTACGAAAACTGGCTTCTGACAAGTAGCGTTTGATAATGTTCATAATGTTTTGGTCTGATCCGTTTTCAAGTGTACACTTTCTTTTGATTTTCTGTTTACAATGAAACATGAAGGTTGACTGAGAAAAATACTGTGAAAGAAGTTTTCCGGCGCCCGAATTCGAGTTAAAGTAGATGATATATTCTCTCCTTTTAATGTATATATTTCATCCCCAACAGCTGATCGTCTTCAAAACCTGGTTCTTGAAGTGCGAAGCCAACTGCCGGTTGTTTTACCAATCCCTCAAGCGGAACTGTGTACGGCCTTTCCGGCAACAGTTGGTGCGCAGGTGACCTTGCCCTGTGACGCACCTGTGATTGGTCGATTTTTCATAGTCCGAAAAGTCAATGTGTCCGGGATAGATGAACATCTGACAATGTGTGAAGTTGCTGTTAGTGGGAATTTGATAAAATCAGGTGTGTATAAAAGTGAGTGAGAGAGGTTTTTGCGCCGCTTTTAGCAATATTCCAGCAATATCACGTTTTAACCAGACCCCAGTTTGGTAATGACACCAGCATAGGTCCCCACTGCGGACCGGAAAAACTCACTCTAAAATGTGCTCATAAAATTCCGATCCAACTCTGATCCAGCATAATGCGATGCTATGACGTCATACTAGCCACCACTAGGATACTTTTGCGCGTGTCATTTTGATATCATAAAGTTTGAGCTTTACGGTGACACATTTTTCATATGTATTTTGAAATTTGTCACAAAAACCACCTCAAATTAATATTGGGTTACTGTTATATTTAAATTACCGTAGTCTCCCTTTTTGTTGAAGGTATACATGTTAGTGTTTTCACGTTCTTCATTACCATTACACAAATATCTGATATGATATTTTCCAGAAACAAAATCTATCCAAAGTTATCAATGAATAAGAAGTCAAAGAAAGAAAAGTGTAGATTCGATTAATTACATATTTGTACAACACATAATGTTTCAGACTGTGGTTCACGGTGTCTCAAAGCGGAAGTAGGAAAACGGTTCATGACTGACAACGCCAGCAAGTTCGTCACCGTACTTTCACCTGCTGAATGCGCATGTGACTGCCACCGGAACATCCGGTGTCTCGGCTTGAACTACGAGATGTCAACGGGAACCTGCGAGATGATATATAAGTTAAAAACGTCCGTGGATCAGTTGATCAACGCTCCCGGCTGGAAATATTATGGATATAATATCTATTGAAAACCATTTCCTTTCCTGGGGTATGAATTACCTTACTCCATCACCACAGTCTGTTAGAATAACACCTGTGCAAAAGTAATAACTGATGTAAATAGTGTCGGGCTTGAGGCCATATGGATACAGGTTAAATGCAAATCTAGAAAAACAAATCCGATGAAAACACTCAATATTGGAATTGAATAAATCAATCAATGCACAGTTCAGTAGATCTTTATGAATTAATTCATTATTGTTACTGGCGATTTTAATATTCACATACTCCAGGATAACAATTCAACAATAACGAACATTTGCAATCTACATCTTTAACAATATCATCATGCTATCATGATAACCCCTAACTCTAAAATATTGATAGAGTTGTTTGTATCAAGTGTTACCGAGGTCAGATGTCATTTGTAGCGATCCAGTATGTAGTGATCTTTTGTAAAATTATTTTCCTCCAGTATGTAAGTCACAAAGCATTCCAGCATTCTAATTTATGGCAAGATTGTTTAAACGCAACATCTCCTCTTGAGGAAGTTTAGAAACTCATGTTTAAATGCTAATATCCTCTTTATATCATATTACGTACTTTAGATCATCGCATCACCATGCTTCAGGTCGTCAGAGGCAAGTTCGCGATATCTCTTACTGATTTTACTGACCGGTGTCCAAAACCTGTCCGAAATTATTTGAAGCGCCTTAAAATCACGCAGCATGTCGTACTGTGAAACTTGCCAGGTCTGAAAACTCTCTGTTCAAAATGGTTTTCTCAGTAATAAATCATTAAAGCTCAGTATGTGCTCTGTGTGACTATGGATATGCAGGAATATTTTTCAACATGTGACGCACCCATCTTATGCAAAACATATCGCCTCGAGAAGGGGAGGGGTAGGGCTGTTTCATTGGTTGTACACAGTGCAAAACAAAAGGGTAGTCTATACATGTACTTGACCATGTTTGACCTACAAGACACACTTGGAGAAACAGTAAGTGCAACGTCTTATGAAGAGAAATGCAATACAAGTAAATAGTGTCGACTGAGGTACAAAAACATACACCATTAAAGGCTATAGGTTGCATTTACCTATAATGCTTATGGCGTAAATTATATTAACCTTTATGTTTCATTGTTTGGTGATTAACGCTGCATAATCAAGTCACATGACGGCGGTCTGTAATTATTCGAGTCTCGAGAAACAAGTGATTGACATCATGAGCATCAATGTGCGCAACTGCGATGACATCAAACAAGTAAGCGAGTCAGATCACCCGTTAATAGCCCCTTACGATAAGTATGAATTTCCTTCTTTTATTAAAAACATTTTTTAATGTTCCCAAATTTACAAGCATGATACACACATCAGATACGACAGAGAATGACTAGTATGGATTGCCTAAGATCAATGCTACCCCCGGGTTTCAAGAGTCTCATACAAGCGGCGTAAAACAATACCAACTCATTCATATTTATCAGAGCTTGAGGGGACTGGATGATCACATTTAGTGACGTGTGAGAGAGATTGTGAACATTGTTATTTATATTCAGCATACATAGTGAACCAACCCACGACCACAAGATCAGTCTCAGTTTTTCAAGAATGAAAATTCCAATAATCTTCAAATTCAGTTTTCATTTTTCCAGCAATATAAATTACAATAAACGCGATGATGTTTTAGAGTTACTGCCCTTTGTTATATGGCGACGAGCAATTGGAAAGCTCGTTATGACTGACTGACTGACTGAGTTTGGTTTTACGCCGCTTTTAGCAATATTCCAGCAACATCACGGCGGGGAACACCAGAAATTGGCTCTGCACATTGTACCCTTGTGGGGATTCGAACCCGGGTCTTCGGCGTGACGAGCCAACGCTTTAACCACTAGGCTCCCCCACCGCCCCGGAAAGCTCATTATGAAACAAACAAACAAAACAAATCCGAATACGTTACATTTAATATCAACTCAGTTATTTTTGCTGATGTGGACTTCAGTCCGGGGAAGTCATTATGGCAATGTGTGATAAGGATAGTGCTTAGTTAGCAATATTCCAGCTATATAAGGATAATGGGCAGTAGGACAGGACTACATAGGAATTTCTGATAAGGGTATTGTTGGGCTGATTTTAACTCTTTGACACTGAACGATGGGGTTATTCCTTGACCACCTTTTGTGATGTGGGTATTGTGTGGCTGGTGTAGACTGTACAACAATATGTTATAACGGTTTTGTGTTTTCGGGTAGACGTTTACAGTGTATAAAACGTGTGTCCTGTGACCTGCTTGGTCAATAACAATGTTTGATAAGTGTATTGTGTGGCCGGTGTAGACTATATAACAATATGTTATAACGGTTTTGTGGTTCCGGGTAGACATATAACAGTGTATAAAACGTGTGTCCTGTGACCTGCTTGTCAATTACAATGTTTGATAAGTGTATTGCGTGGCCGGTGTAGACTATATAACAATGTTTGATAAGTGTATTGTGTGGCCGATGTAGACTATATAACAATATATAATATCTGTTTAGTGTTTCCGGGTAGACATACATCAGTGTATAAAACTTTCTCCGTGGCCTCCTTGGTTAATAACAATGATTGATAAGTGTATTGTGTGGCCGATGTAGACTATATAACAATATGTAATAACAGTTCTGTTTCCGAGTAGACGTTAACAGTGTTTAAAACATGTTCCGTGACCTCCTTGGCCAAAAACAATGTTTCATAAGTGTATTGTGTGGCCGGTGTAGTCTATATAACAATGGTTGATAAGTGTATTGTGTGGCCGGTGTAGACTATATAACAATGTTTAATAACAGTTTTGTTTCCGAGTAGACGTTAATAGTGTATAAAACATGTTCCGTGGCCTCCTTGGTCAATAACAATGTTTGATAAGTGTATTGTGCGGCCGGTGTAGACTATATATCAATGGTTGATAAGTGTATTGTGTGGCCGGTGTAGACCATAGAACTGTGTAAATTACAGGCAAATCATGAAGAAAATGGGCCAATACAAGGTGTGATAAGTTTATCATCATGTCGACTGAATGACAACCTGTGGAACAGGTTATACCATGGCCAGCCTGGATTATGTAACAACGTGCCTTGGCCTGTTTTGACTAATAGTATATAACAATGACTGTGTAAAATGGCTCTCCGATTGTAAAGCATATAGCCTTAGCATGATCGATCTGTACAAGTCACAATGTATCACAATGATATAGTATCAATGTATCACAATGGCTTGTCCCACAAAAATAAGAACGCGTGATAATTACTAGATTCTACGCGTAGATGGAACTATTTACTACAGGGGCATTTCAATGTTAAGTATTTTAAGAAAATTATATTAGAGCATATTAAACACTCGTTTAACACAATGGACAATTCTCATGAATAAGATATCAGAAACTCAAGCGGGTTTTAGAGGAGGTTATTCTACCATAGATCACAATTTCACGTTGAATGCACTTATTAAAAAATGCTTATGTAAAAAGAAAAAAATTGTTTGTTGTTTTCATAGATTTTAAAAAGGCTTTTGATTCAATAGACAAATGTAAATTATGGAGCTTGTTATCAAGCTACGGTTTGGGTGGGAAAATGACGCTAGCGCTAAAAGGTATTTACTCTTCCGTTAAATCATGTGTGAGATGTAGTTCACATTTAACAGACTACTTTAACTGTCCTTTTGGTCTAAAACAAGGTTGCATGCTGAGTCCTATACTCTTTTCTCTGTTCATAAATGAGCTTTCTATTGAAATTTCACAAAATGGAAAACATGGCATCCAGTTATTTCCCGATATGATAGAAATTTTGATGCTACTTTTCGCTGATGATGGTATTTTTTAGCTTCAGATATTAAATGTGGTCTTCAAAATTAATTACATATTTTATCATTGTATTCGGATAAGTGGGGTTTAAACGTTAACCTTGATAAATCTAATATTGTTGTATTCAGGAGGGGAGGTAGACTTGTAAGTACTGACGCATGGTACTTTCAAGGTAATAACTTATAGATAGTCAATAGCTATAAGTATCTCGGTTTTCGTATTGACGTGTAATGTTGCCTGGGCAAATCGTTATCCGATCTCTCCTTGCGTGGTAAAAAAGCATTAATGGAATTAAATGGCAACCTTAGGAAAATCGGTTCATTATCACCGGATATCTTTTTCAAAATATTTGATTGTCAAATACAATCTATCCTATTATATGCTTCAGAAACGTGAGGATATAAAAAATATGAATGTATTTTGAAAGTTCATGTTTCGGCTTGCAAATTATACTTAAACGTTGGACCTCAGACACCTAACGCTATTGTGTATGGTGGATGTGGCCGTTTCCCTGTTTTTGTAAATGCAGCTGTTCTTTGTCTTAACTACTGGATTAAAATAATAACAATGCACGAAGATCGCATACCAAAGAAAGCTTATGAAATGTTACTTAATCTCGATAACCTTGGCTATGAGACATGGACTTCAAAAATTCGCTATTTGCTCTTTTCTTATACATTTTGATTTGTTTCGTTATCACAAACTGTTGGAAATCGGTTTTATTGGAATCTTTAAAACGCGTTTAGTGGATGTTTTTAAACAAAACTGGAGATCCGATCTTGACAATAGCACACGTTATGTTTTGTATAGAGAATTCAAAAGCTTATTGAACCCTGAGAAATACCTTTTTGAAATTGCAGACTATAAATTAAGTAAATATTTAGTTAGATTTAGAGCGGGATTACCAAGGTTAAAATTTAATAAAAGACGATGGTGTAAAATTAAAGCAAATTTTAGAACATGTCCTATCTGTTACGGAGGTCTAGAAGACGAATACCATTTTACTTTCATGTGTCCTAGATATGATGACCTACTTCGTAAATATACTCTCCCAAAAAGAAACGCATATATGAATTTCAACTGTATTTTTATGATTATTTTGAAACATCTTGTAGGCTTTATGAGTCAATGAAATATAGCGAAATTGCACACTGGGAATGCAGACTTATCCGTCTTTGGCACCAACTCGAGGAAAGTCAGTTTGAGTGTCACATGGAGACGTGTGGTGGCGCTGAAGTCAATACCTCGTGTGACCACCGTGGGCATCCAGAACTGCACGGCATCGCCTCGGCATCGAACGAATAAGTCTCAGAGTCTCGTGTTGCCCAATCGCGTCCCACTCTGCCTGCAGTGCCTGTGCGAGTTGCTGAAGTGTTTGGGGCTGAGGGTTACGGCGTCGCACCTGTCTGTCCAGGGCATCCCACAGATGTTCGATCGGGTTTAAGTCCGGTGATCTTGAGGGCCAGGGGAGCACATTGATGTTGTGGTTCTGGAGGAAGTCTCTACTGTGACGTGCTGTGTGGGGGCTGGCATTGTCCTGTTGAAACAACTCCCTCTGGCGATAAGTGATTGGAAGGAGGTGTGGGCGTAGGATTTCGTCACAGTACCGTTGAGCTGTCAGGTTACCCTGGATCATCACCAAATCACTTCTCCTACGGCAGGTGATCGCCCCCCACATCATAACACTACCCCGGCCGAATCTGTCCACCTCGGGAACGCAAGTGTCGGCGAAACGTTCACGTCGACGTCTGTACACCCACATTCTTCAATCGCGTCGTTCCAATAGAAATCGTGATTCATCACTGAACCAGATTCTATGCCAATTCGGTAGGTTCCAGGCCTGAACGTTGGTGCACCATTGAACTCAATGTCGACGATGTTGTTGTCGAAGCACAGGGCCAAAATAAGGTCTTCTGGCACGTAAACCAGCCTCTCTCAACCTGTTCCTGACGGTCTGTGCAGAAAGCCTCCTCAATCCGGGTATTTGTCGAGCGGTACTGGTCGCCGTAGCTGTTCGATGAAGCAGGTGATGTACCCGGATGTAGCGATCCTGCGCCGCAGTGGTCGCTCGAGGTCGCTCCACTACGAGGGGCATCTGCTACCGCATTCTGCCTGCGATATCTCTCCCAGAGCCGTGAAATGGTGCTTTGGTGAACATTCATGCGTCGGGCAACTGCACGTTGAGACTGGCCAGCTTCAAGCAAACCAATGGCGATATGACGGTTGGCTTCACTTAGACGTGGCATTTTGCGTTCGTCAACAATAATCCAAATACAGTGAATAATCGACACGAAGCGATCAACCTTTTATACCCATCATTGAGACTATCTGATCCCAAACTTTCACGTGCATTGCATGTGAATTGTGTATTCTGTGACACTACACGCCGAAATTGAAAATCATGCTGTTAAATACGGGTATTTTACGGATGGTGCGTTTTGATGTGATGTTTCAAAACATAAACACCATAGGACTCATAAACAGAGCAAAACCTTTTGTAAAATGAATCACGTTTTAATTCATTGCTACATGAAATTGCTATTTTCATGATGCGTTTCTTTTTGGGAGAGTATATTTAATACCATATTATACGTTTGTATTATCATATCATATGTTTATCTACTTTTTCCATATTAACCTGTATCGTCTGTTCTGATTACCTGTATACATGTATGCAAATGGGCGTGTATACATATATGCAAATTGTATTATAATTGATCAAACTGTATGTATATGGGCGATAGCCTTTGTACGGAAATAAAGTTTTGATTGATACTCTGTTATACTAAAAACCTTTGTTTTGAATATAATAATATATGCCATTAGTAATGATAGTTGCTATTATTACTAATGGCGTATATCGTTATCTTTAAAACAAACGTTTTTCAGGTGCAGCATGACGGACTGGCTGACTGAGTTTGGTTTTACGCCGCTTATAGCAATATTCCAGCCACATCACTGCGGGGGACACCAGAAATTGGCTTCACACATTTTACCCATTCAAACCCGGGTCTTCGACGTGACGGGGCAACGCTTTAACCATTAGGCTACCCCACCACCTCAGGTGCTGCATGAAGAGGGGTTTAATTTTAACGTAAATTAAACTGAGATGTTAAACAATGCATCAGTGTTGCCATAGTTATCTTGTAGATGGAAAAGATGTTACAGTAGCATCTGATATCTACAGTGATAATCTGAGTGAGTAGATGAGTAGATCCGGTTTGTCTTCCTTGTCTTGCTGCAGGACATATTGTCTTAAACTTATAATTCACTTCATGCATTTTTTCTGATACAATCCTAATACAATTGTACACCCAACAAATGGAGGGCAGTGCATAGGCAGTATCCTGTAAACCACGTTCCACCTGGTCCCCTTACAACACTGCTTAGTTGCCTGTATGCAAGAAGTGGGAAATTTCAAAATGGCCGCCGATCGAATATCTTCGTTGATTTCTTGATACTCGTTTTGCCGCATCAAAGTGCCAAGGCTCAGTGAGGCTGTATTTGTGTGACTGTTTTTAAGGCCACTTATTATGCAAAGTGTTACCATTTTGACATTGGAATAACGAATCTAAATTGAAGTATAGAAGGACACAAATACCGAAAAGACGGCTCTGTCCAGGAAACGCAGTATGCTTCTATCTTGAAAAACAGTTGAAGGTGACTTTCCGTCAATGCTTTCAATTCATTCAACAATAAAATAAAATCAGTTACAAACGGTAGTATACATGTGCTTCACAGCCACAATCTTACAGAAGTACAAATACACAAGTAGAAATCGATGATCGATTTTGGTTGTATCGAGTGCACTTTAAACATTCAAACCAACATTTGGCATTAATGAAAATGAAAGAGTGATAATATGTGCACAAATCCCGCCATTCGCTAGACTAGACCACTTACCATTATTCCAAGAACTAAGTACTTTGAATGATTGTAGTTCGTTTAGTGCAAACAGGAGCACATTATTACGCATGATCGGAGCTATGGAAGAGCGAAGTGCATGCTAAACCGTAAATTATGACTGCAGCTATGATGTTGCTCCCTTATCAGGAGTTCATTACGGCCATCCAGCACCTTGTCACGACTCATTACTCAATATGTTGTACAGATGTTTTTCATTTGTTTCATTTTTGACGACTCTAAACATCGAGATGGGCGTTTGCTTAAGCGATGAATCTCGTTTCCTACTGAATTGGGATGAGAGACAAGGTGTCCATCGACGTCGACAGCAACGCTTTGCGCCAAACTGCGTTCGACATTTGGACAGATTTGAGGAGATAGCGTCCTTTTTCAAGAGTTCACACCAAGTATCATTATATTATTAAAATGATGCAAGTATACACTCTCCTAGAAAATCATCTTTTTCATTGAATAATTACAGTGCCAACTCTTGAATCGGATGTTTTGGCATCTAAGGTAAATGACCTCACGAATTATTTAAAGCGTTTTATTGATAATGAAACATGAACGCACAGGCCAAGAAAATGGAAAATTTAATGTATTAAACGTATTGAAGTGTACATAAGTCGATTAAGCTTGAACATAGATGAAGTGATCCAGGATCAACCAGGACACCACTTTACTTTTGAATTTTCAGCGAGAACGTACTCTGGTGTCCTCATGGAAATTAATTTTTCACAACGAATTTTGTGGTTTTTTTCACCAAAACCTTTACTTTACTCAAACCACATATTTCACCTTGTGGTGGACATTTCGCTCTGTTTATCCGGTTCAGGAGAGGCCCCTAACATGTGGTAACGTGCGACTATACTGTAAACCGGAAATATTCTGCGCCTTGAAAATATAGCGTCAGTGTACCTCCAGCCTGTTCTGTATTATTTTTGCGAGAGTAGTAGGCTTTGCAAAACAACATTGTTAACTAAAGGGATGACAGGTTTCAGGGATACAGGATGACAGGTTTCTTATTAATCCCTTTGATTTCAAAAGTATAAACTCAGTTCTAAGTTGTTTTTTGCTGAGCATTGTATTATTTGCAGGGATTAACACCATAAGAGAACCGTTTGTATTTGACGCAGAATATTTCCGGTTTACAGTATTTGATCCACTGGCACAGTAAGGTTCGTGTAGATTGTTCCCTGTTTTACTGATGACCCAGAATCACTGATTTGTTTGTCGTGATATGGATGGAACATTGGCGCTCCCACCCCCCTCCACACACCCACGCATGCACGCCCTCGCACCCGCACGCACGCACTCACATTCACGGACACAGGCGCAACCAAACAAATCTGTGATCAAGTTAGCTGCAATGCACTGGATGGATCCACGCAGAGCTCTCGATCGATCGCGAGACGCACCCAATACCTCCAAGGAGACAAATGAATCATTCAGACAGACCACGCAAGTTGAGCAACGTTTAACACTGCTGGCGGAACCTACTGAGATGACGAGCTTGGCGTTACTGTTTGTTGTACCTCTTCTGTGCCCTTGTAAGTATATTCCTTAAAGACTTGTTATGATTAGTGGAGCAGTAAGGCGACTATACTGGTTCCAAGTTTAAGAAAGCAATGACAAGAAAAAGGTCGTTTTCTAATTGGTTAACTTTAGTGACATGTAAAAGTCAACGAAAGTCTCGATTATCTGCAGAATTAGATTCCATTGGACGGATTTGGGAATTATTTTAATGGACCATAGTCACATCACGTGTTCGCAAAACGGCTTGTTCCGTTCTGCTGTTAGTTCTCGTCACTCATACATTCGCATAAGACTAAGTAAACCTACATCAGAGACAGGTGCGAAAAGTGATAGTGATGACCAGAGGCCCAGATTAGCTGCGTATCCGGGTAAAATACGCATAGAAAATTTCCATTTACACATTGAAAAATAATTGTTGCGTGCCAATTACGCATTTAAAATGTTGGATACGCAAAAAAGTTTAAAACAAATGCGTACGGAATATATTTATAAAAATCGCTTGCGTAATGAAAAAGACATCGATTGCTATCAAGTGGTACTGTTAGTATAGGACAAGTGCTGTACTGTCAGTATGGGATGAGTGCTTTTTTATGAAATCATGTCCATTATGTTTAACTTGGTTTTGATTAGATAAGGCAGACCATACCTGCTTAGTAAACTTACTCAATGACATAATACTTAGGTGAGTAATATGACTGAAATACGCTCATATTTGAAAGTAGTGGGTAACGGAAAATGAAATACCCACTCAACATTCATAATACCCACCCCAAAAAAATTACAGTGGGTACAGTACCCACATGAGCTAAATCTTATCTGGAGCTCTGACAGTCCTTTGCTGCTGCTGATGATGATGATGATGATCACGACGACTATGATGATTTGTACCATGTCGCAGTTTAAATTGTGTTGCATGTCCATTCCCTAGTTAAACCATGAATGAAACCAACAAACAACAAAGAAATATAGTATAATTAACAATTTTATTCTAAAAATTACTAAGTTTACAAATCATTATATATCAGTACAAAGCAGGTGCAAAATAGAGATGGTGTACAAATTAAGTCTGTGTAATATAAAAGCAGTGATGACAGCAACAAAGACAATAATGGTACTAGCCTCGCTGTAACAGTGGTCAAGCTTCCAAAATAGGCCTCGACAGAGTATCCAGGGTAAAGCGTGATCTCCACACAACTCCGCACCTTCTATGTACGAAACGTTTCCTGAACTTTCTCTAAATCTCTAGGTCAGCTTACACTGGAACTTTTCATAGGCCTAGAAATATCTTCACCAGATTTGAATACACAATGCCTTTTAAAAACTGGCTAAATACAACATATATTGTATTTTCGGTATTACGCTTTCTCAGTATTTGTAATCATGTTTTCAAAGACTAACATACATATCATCGTACATAAGATTGTAATATGTCTGCTTCGGAATTCTTACCTATGAAGGTCCGGGTTAGAATTGATCTTCAGTAACCCATGCTTGTCGTAAGAGGCGACTAACGGGATCGGGTGGTCAGGCTCGCTGACTTGGATGACACGTGTCATCGGTTCCCAGCTGCGACGATCGATGCTCATGCTGTTGATCACTGGATTGTCTGGTCCAGTCTCGGTTATTTGCAGACCGCAGCCATATAGCTGGAATAATGCTGAGTGCGGTGTAAAACTAAACTCACTCACGCTTAGGGTTTCTATCTCTGTGCATTTCGATAAGTTTAAGTATTTTATACAAAGACATACAGCATGTATACTCTCCCCAAAAACAAACGCATATAGGAATTTCAACTGTATTTTTAAGTATATTTTAGAAACATCGTGTAGGCTTTATGAGTCAATGAAATATAGCGAAATTGCACACTGGGAATGCAGACTTATCCGTCTTTGGCACCAACTCGAGGAAAGTCAGTTTGAGTGTCACATGGAGACGTGTGGTGGCGCTGAAGTCAATACCTCGTGTGACCACCGTGGGCATCCAGAACTGCACGGCATCGCCTCGGCATCGAACGAATAAGTCTCAGAATCTCATATTGCCCAATCGCAGCCCACTCTGCCTGTAGTGCCTGTGCGTCGCACCTGTCTGTCCAGGGCATCGCACAGATGTTCGATCGGGTTTAAGTCCGGTGATCTTGAGGGCCAGGGGAGCACATTGATGTTGTAGTTCTGGAGGAAGTATCTAGTGTGACGTGCTGTGTGGGGCCTGGCATTGTCCTGTTGAAACAACTCCCTCTGGCGATCAATGATTGGAAGGCGGTGTGGCCGTAGGATTTCGTCACAGTAACGTTGAGCTGTCAGGTTGCACTGGATCATCACCAAATCACTTCACCTACGGCAGGTGATCTCTCCCCACATCATAACACCACCCCGGCCGAATCTGTCCACCTGGGGGAACGCAAGCGTCGGCGAAACGTTCACGTCGACGTCTGTACACCCGCATTCTTCCATCGCGTCGTTCCAATAGAAATCGTGATTCATCACTGACCCTGATCCTACGCCAATTCGGTAGGTTCCAGGCCTGAACGTTGGTGCACCATTGAAATCGATGTCAGTGCGAGTTGCTGAAGTGTCTGGGCATGAGTGTTACGGCGTCGCACCTGTCTGTCCAGGGCATCCCACAGTTGTTCGATCGGGTTTAAGTCCGTTGATCTTGAGGGCCAGGGGAGCACACTGATGTTGTAGTTCTGGAGGAAGTCTCTACTGTGACGTGCTGTGTGGGGCCTGGCATTGTCCTGTTGAAACAACTCCCTCTGGCGATAAGTGATTGGAAGGAGGTGTGGGAGTAGGATTTCGTCACAGTACCGTTGAGCTGTCAGGTTACCCTGGATCATCACCAAATCACTTCTCCTACGGCAGGTGATCGCTCCCCACATCATAACACTACCCCTGCCGAATCTGTCGACCTGGGGGAACGCAAGCGTCGGCGAAACGTTCACGTCGACGTCTGTACACCCGCATTCTTCCATCGCGTCGTTCCAATAGAAATCGTGATTCATCACTGACCCTGATCCTACGCCAATTCGGTAGGTTTCAGGCCTGAACGTTGGTGCACCATTGAAATCGATGTCAGTGCGAGTTGCTGAAGTGTCTGGGCATGAGTGTTACGGCGTCGCACCTGTCTGTCCAGGGCATCCCACAGTTGTTCGATCGGGTTTAAGTCCGTTGATCTTGAGGGCCAGGGGAGCACATTGGTGTTGTAGTTCTGGAGGAAGTCTCTAGTGTGACGTGCTGTGTGGGGCCTGGCATTGTCCTGTTGAAACAACTCCCTCTGGCGATCAATGATTGGAAGGAGGTGTGGGCGTAGGATTTCGTCACAGTAACGTTGAGCTGTCAGGGTTGCACTGGATCATCACCAAATCACTTCTCCTACGGCAGGTGATCGCTCCCCACATCATAACACCTACCCTGGCCGAATCTGTCCACCTGGGAACGCAAGCGTCGGCGAAACGTTCACGTCGACGTCTGTACACCCGCATTCTTCCATCGCGTCGTTCCAATGAAATCGTGGATTCATCACTGACCCTGATCCTACGCCAATTCGGTAGGTTCCAGGCCTGAACGTTGGTGCACCGTTGAAATCGATGTCAGTGCGAGTTGCTGAAGTGTCTGGGCATGAGTGTTACGGCGTCGCACCTGTCTGTCCAGGGCATCCTACAGTTGTTCGATCGGGTTTAAGTCCGTTGATCTTGAGGGGCCAGGGGAGCACACTGATGTTGTAGTTCTGGAGGAAGTCTCTACTGTGATGACGTGCTGTGTGGGGCCTGGCATTGTCCTGTTGAAACAACTCCCTCTGGCGATAAGTGATTGGAAGGAGGTGTGGGAGTAGGATTTCGTCACAGTACCGTTGAGCTGTCAGGTTACCCTGGATCATCACCAAATCACTTCTCCTACGGCAGGTGTGATCGCTCCCCATCATAACACTACCCCCTGCCGAATCTGTCGACCTGGGGAACGCAAGCGTCGGCGAAACGTTCACGTCGACGTCTCTCTGTACACCCGCATTCTTCCATCGCGTCGTTCCAATAGAAATCGTGATTCATCACTGACCCTGATCCTACGCCAATTCGGTAGGTTTCAGGCCTGAACGTTGGTGCACCATTGAAATCGATGTCAGTGCGAGTTGCTGAAGTGTCTGGGCATGAGTGTTACGGCGTCGCACCTGTCTGTCCAGGGCATCCCACAGTTGTTCGATCGGGTTTAAGTCCGTTGATCTTGAGGGCCAGGGGAGCACATTGGTGTTGTAGTTCTGGAGGAAGTCTCTAGTGTGACGTGCTGTGTGGGGCCTGGCATTGTCCTGTTGAAACAACTCCCTCTGGCGATCAATGATTGGAAGGAGGTGTGGGAGTAGGATTTCGTCACAGTAACGTTGAGCTGTCAGGTTGCACTGGATCATCACCAAATCACTTCTCCTACGGCAGGTGATCGCTCCCCACATCATAACACTTCATGCGTCGGGCAACTGCACGTTGAGACTGGCCAGCTTCAAGCAAACTAATGGCGATATGACGGATGGCTTCACTTAGAAGTGGCATTTTGCGTTCGTCAACAATATTCCAAATACAGTGAATAATCGACACAAAGCGATCAACCTTTTATACCCATCATTGAGACTATCTGATTCCCAACTTTCACGTGCATTGCATGTGAATTGTGTATTCTGTGACACTACACGCCGAAATTGAAAATCATGCTGTTAAAGACGGGTATTTTACGGATGGTGCTTTTGTTGTGATGTTTCAAAACATAAACACCATAGGACTCATAAACAGAGCAAAACCTTTTGTAAAATGAATCACGTTTTAATTCATTGCTACATGAAATTGCTATTTTCATGATGCGTTTCTTTTTTGGGAGAGTATATATATAAAGGGTATCGGCATCAGAGACAAGTATAACATCATCTGCAAACATCAACAATAGTGGCGAATAACACCATGTTTACAATTATCTAAAATATCCAGAAATGATTCATTGATACAGAATAGGAATAACAGAGGACTTAATATGCAGCCTTGTTTAACACCAAGAGGTCAGTCTCCACTTTCCACCACACACACCATCGCTGCATCTCACACGTGTTTGGATCATTGATACAGATGGCTCAAGGACTCTTAACGTTTTCCCGCTTAAACCACGAGCGCACAACCAAGTACAGAGCTTACTATTCTTAACAGAGCCGAATGCCTTTCTTAAATCAATAAAGGAGATGTAGAGTTTCATTTAACAATGCTATATCCAGGCATGGGTTTCTGAGATCATCACTCGAATTAGGATATTTTATGTATCTTACTTCTCCGTGGAACCATGTTAATTGAAAGTACATTAAATAGATATAGGGCTCATATTGACATTGATAATAATAGGAAAAATACAAATAATATTGGTAGGAGAGAGAGTATTGGTAGAAATTTTCAGGATTTGTGTGTTTTCTCATCAAAGGTCATTGAAGATTACTTTCATTTTGTTTTAAATGCCCGATTCGTGATTTGAGACATGAATATTTTCCATGAATATAGTAGAAAACAAAGGAAACGCATATGTATACACTCAATTCCAAAGATTGAAGGACCTCAATTAAGTGTCCTAAACATGTTATAGATGCCCTATCTATACGTTCCTCAATAACATTGTAGTATATCTATTATTTGTACAGCCTTCTAACCACCTCCACCACGTTATATGCGTATATTCTTCTTATGAAATGTATTTGGGCCTATGGCCTTGTTACTGAATAGCAGAATCCTTGTAAAGAAATTAGTAAAGTCGACAATAATGGGCAAGCCGTTATCAGATTGCTTCGAGTGAGTGAGCATGGTTTTACGCCGCTTTTAGCAATATTCCAGCAATATCATGGCGGGGGACTCAAGAAATGGGCTTCACACATTGTCCCCACGTGGGGGAATCGAACCCTGGTCTTCGGTGTGACGAGCCAACGCTTTAACCTCTAGACTTTCCCACCGCCCCCAGACTGCTTATAACAGATGCTAATAGCATTGTTTCTATGAGCATACAGTTTGTATAGTGAATACTTGAATTGTTATTCTGATGTGGCTGTCCTGAGTACAGTTCAATTCAAACAAAAAGACACACACAAATGTCTATCATCAAAAAAGCTTTAAGCATTGAAGCATTAGAAACAGCGGGTAGACATAAGAACTCGACTTTGACTTCAAACACCAGTATTTTAACGACTGTATGTTTTGTTATGGGTTGATTCCCAAGTTGAAAGTGAAACGATATCCGTAAAAGAACAAACAACACAAACAATGCTGTAATAAAGAAATTATTGTATTCCCAAATTCACAAATCAATAGAAATCACTAGGGCAGTACAAACTAAAGAGGCAGTACAAGTACAACGACAGTATAACAGCAATAAATCACTGCAATAAAGACAATGATGGTATTATTCACCTCGCAGTAACAATAATTCATCTTGGAAGAAAGGGCTAGATAGAGTGTACCAGGGTATAGCAAAGTGTGAGAACACAAAATGCCGGTCTTCTAGAGGCTTGAGGTGAAATGTGACAAGAGGCAAGAGTTACCCACTAGGCAGATGTTTCTGGAGTAAGGCCCTTGTAGTCCTTTCCAGATCATTCTGCCTAAATCTGGTAAAATCTAAATATACTCTCCTTAAATCGAAACGCACGCGTGTTATTGACCTTTGAAATTTCAAATATTTTTTAAAAAAATTAGTGTTTGATTGTTATAATTTCGGCATTCTAATGCTTGTTTGTGTACGTGGACCGAATGTACATCGTCAAAACATATCGTCGGGAAATTTAAAAACTATGTTCCTAGCTGTGAACTTGCATGAACATGTCATGGAGAAAAAGTGGTTCTCAATATACACGACCGGTTTTGAGGAATCGTGAGCAGGGACATTGCCCGTTTAAGGCCGTTTTGCTTTTAGATGGTCATTGGCATTTTTTAGCTGAATGAAAGAGTGAGTGAGTGAGTTGTAGTTTTACGCCGCTTTTAACAATATTCCAGACACATCACAGCGGGGACCAGAAAGGGCCTTCACACATTGTACCCATGTGGGGAATCGAACCCGAGTCTTCAGCGTGACGAGCAAACGCTTTAACCACCAGGCTACAGCACCAACTCTTCTTGTTTCGAACATATAGTGCACTGTTTTCACATGTTTTAATACCAGATAATATGGATCATAGCTTTTCTGACTTAAAGGCGATTTAAGTGAATACTCTTTCTACATGCTATAATACCAAATTATATAGATAGTAGCGTATCTGACGTGAAAGAAAGTTTGCATTGTCATTTAGATCTAAAAGCAGGATAATGAAATATCCACGGGAAGAGTTTCATAAATGATTGACAGGATTTTCTTGTTACATTCTATCCACACATTATATGAATCTAGATCAATACGTCTCTTCTGTGATGATGTATATCATTTAAGAACAAAGCAAAGAATTATTATTTGGCAGACATCTGTTTGTTGTTGCTGCGGCCACCTTTACTGAAGTAATGGGGTGCAAACAAACTGATGGTTTCACAAAGCACTTTCATACAGTCCATCTGATTTCCTGACTATTTATTAAACAAATCCTATTAAGTAGACCAATCAAGAGGCGGAGCTAAAAAGCTGGAAATTGATTTTCTTTGCATAATTCATTCATTCCTCTTTATTAGTTCGAAATGAATCATTCCGAAACTATGCTTAAATCTTTTTCAGGATTTGACAAGAAGTAGACTCTTTACTGTAACGGATGTTCTTTTGTTGTGTTAGTGAACAACACTTAGCTTCCGACCAGTAGTACGCTTGTTTTCAGTCAATTCTATAAAGTTTTTCATGTGTACCATAGCTTGGGGTCAATTTTTCAAAAGTGAAAATAAATGTCCTCTGATATCTGGAATTCTTGAATCATAAATACTGTTACGGTAAATAAATTGCCTTGTCAAAAGGTTTAAGAATCCCATTTGAACCAGCAAAATATAACACAGACAAGTCTAAAATATTCAATTATATATTGAGTGAGTGAGTGAGTGAGTTTAGCTTTACGCCGCACTCAGCATTATTCCAGCTATATGGCGGCGGTCTGTAAATAATCCAGTCTGGACCAGACAATCCAGTGATCAACAGCATGAGCATCGATCTGCGCAGTTGGGAACCGATGACATATGTCAACCAAGTTAGCGAAACTGACCACCCGATCCCGTTAGTCGCCTCTTACGACAAGATAGTCGCCTTTTTATGGCAAGCACATGGGTTGCTGAAGACCTATTCTACCCCGGATCTTCACGGGTCTATATATTGAGCAAACAATGAGCAAGTTACAATGCAATTGAGTCACAAATCTAAAGTAATGGGCCACAAATATAAAATATTAACTCACCAGAGTCTGGACATTTACATTGAGAGCAGATATACTAACTGAAGGTTGTTTACAATGTCAGTAGACAATCGGTCTTGACGATGTTGACAGACAGACGACGACGGTAGGCAGATGGCGGCAGACAGATGTACACGATCCCAGTGATATGACGTGTTAGTCCATGTGTTAGTCCGTGTGTGTGTGTGTCAACACAACAACCAGCCTTTATATAGCTCTTACACAGTTCTCGAGCATTCTAGTAAAGGTGGGCAGCATCATTATCCCCTCAGAACTTCATGCGATTTTCTCGAACATTCGACCTGTCAAAACGAAAGTAAAGCCAAGGGAGGCAACTCTGGAGCGCTATCTCAAAAGGCGTGCCGCTAAAATACTATTGCCATTGAACATATATATGATACGAAATGTTACCCACAACCCACACTCAAAACTTTAAACATTGTGACCCAATAACAACTATCACTTAATCAATGATAATACAAATTACAAAAAACACAATCTCGTAACAATACGCCAATGTGCAATCTGGAGGGTAGGGTGGCTTTTTAGGCAAGAATTAGACATTCTCACGTCACCACTTGTTCCGACCTTTGCTGATCTGTTTTTATGTCTTCTTCTTCTTCTTCTTCTTCTTCTTCTTCTTCTTCTTCTTCTTCTTCTTCTTCTTCTTCTTCTTCTTCTTCTTCTTCTTCTTCTTCTTCTTCACAAGACCAGTATCCACGGTTCATCACTGACATCCTAGCGAGGGTTGTTGTACAGGACCATCCTCTGAACACAAGACCTGTATCCGACCAGTACCCGCGGTACATCAGTGACATCCTAGAGACGGTTGTTGTACTTCATGCCCGTCACCATCCTCTGTACACAAGACCAGTTTCCACTGTACATCACTGACGTCCTAGACAGGGTTGTTGTACCACATGTCCATGACCATCCTCTTTCCACAAGACCAATATCCGATCAGTATCCACGGTGCATCACTGACATCCTAGAGAGGGTTGTTGTACCACATGTCCATGACCATCTTCTGTACACAAGACCAGTATCCACGGTACATCACTGACGTCCTAGACAGGGTTGTTGTACCACATGTCGATGATCATCCTCTGTACACAGGACCAGTATCCTACAAGTATCCACGGAACATCAGTGACATCCTAGAGAGGGTTGTTGTACCACATGTCCATGATCATCCTCTGTACACAAGACCTGTATCCGACCAGTATCCACGGTTCATCACTGACATCCTAGCGAGGGTTGTTGTACAGGACCATCCTCTGAACACAAGACCTGTATCCGACCAGTATCCACGGTACATCAGTGACATCCTAGAGAGGGTTGTTGTACCACATGTACAGGACCATCCTCTGTACACAAGACCAGTATCTGACCAGTATCCGCGGTACATCAGTGACATCCTAGAGATTGTTGCTGTACCACATGTCCATGACCATCCTCTGTACACAAGACCAATATCCGATCAGTATCCACGGTGCATCACTGACATCCTAGAGAGGGTTGTTGTACCACATGTCCATGACCATCTTCTGTACACAAGACCAGTATCCACGGTACATCACTGACGTCCTAGACAGGGTTGTTGTACCAAATGTCGATGATCATCCTCTGTACACAGGACCAGTATCCTACAAGTATCCACGGAACATCAGTGACATCCTAGAGAGGGTTGTTGTACCACATGTCCATGATCATCCTCTGTACACAAGACCTGTATCCGACCAGTATCCACGGTTCATCACTGACATCCTAGCGAGGGTTGTTGTACAGGACCATCCTCTGAACACAAGACCTGTATCCGACCAGTATCCACGGTACATCAGTGACATCCTAGAGAGGGTTGTTGTACCACATGTCCGTGAACATCCTCAGTACACAAGACCAGTTTCCACGGTACATCAGTGACATCCTAGAGAGGGTTGTTGTACCACATGTCCATGATCATCCTCTGTACACAAGACCTGTATCCGACCAGTATCCACGGAACATCAGTGACATCCTAGAGAGGGTTGTTGTACCACATGTCCGTGAACATCCTCAGTACACAAGACCAGTTTCCACGGTACATCAGTGACATCCTAGAGAGGGTTGCTGTACCACATGTCCGTGAACATCCTCAGTACACAAGACCAGTATCCACGGTACATCAGTGACATCCTAGAGAGGGTTGCTGTACCACATGTCCGTGAACATCCTCAGTACACAAGACTAGTTTCCACTGTACATCACTGACGTCCTAGACAGGGTTGTTGTACCACATGTCCATGACCACCCTCTGTACACAAGACCAGTATCCGACCAGTATCCACGGAACATCAGTGACATCCTAGAGAGGGTTGTTGTACCACATGTCCATGATCATCCTCTGTACACAAGACCTGTATCCGACCAGTATCCACGGTACATCAGTGACATCCTAGAGAGGGTTGTTGTACCACATGCCTGTGACCATCCTCTGTACACAAGACCAGTATCAACGGAACATCAGTGACATCCTAGAGACGGTTGTTGTATCACATGTCCATGACCATCCTCTGTACAAAAGACCTGTGTCCGACCAGTATCCACGGAACATCACTGACATCCTAGAGAGGGTTGTTGTACCACATGTCGATGACCATCCTCCGTACACAAGACCAGTATCCACGGTACATCAGTGACATCCTAGCGAGGGTTGTTGTACCACATGTGGATGACCGTCCTCTGTACACAAGACCAGTATCCGACCAGTATCCACGGTACATCAGTGACATCCTAGCGAGGGTTGTTGTACCACATGTGGATGACCATCTTCTGTACACAAGACCAGTATCCGACCAGTATCCACGGAACATCACTGACATCCTAGAGAGGGTTGTTGTACCACATGTTGATGACCATCCTCCGTACACAAGACGATTATCCATGGACAGCGGTATGTTATCACTCTCTGGTGAAAATTGGTGGCCCTGTATTTCACTTACGTTACGCCCATACCCCGATTCTGGCCCAGTCGACTTTATCCGCTGCTTACATGGCTCGACCCTCCTTGCTCCTGGCCTCACGACACAACGGAATTGGGCGCGGTGGGCGAGCTGATTAAGGCGCCAGGGTAGTGATCCAGCGAGGTTGAGGTGTCCGGATCGAGCCCACCTGTGACCGGGTGTAAAAACCTTGGAGTCAACTTTGTGTGCAGATACTTTCAGTGTTGTCACAACCCCTAGTGTACAGTACACAGCACTGTGCACTTAAAAGAACCCACGAATCCGTTAGTATATGACCAGCTGGTGGCCACATGCATACGTGCAAACATCTAGTTGTGGGTACAGCAACGTGTAGTGAACTTGGACAAAGTACTGTGTCTATGTCCACTCAGCTGTGAATGGGTACCTCGTTAGAAAGCCACAATAACTCGGTGCGCCTAGTGGTGATACGTGATACGAGAGATTGATGATACGAAGTGCCGTTGAGATTGACATTCAATAATCGAGGGGGAAAAATACCAGCGCCTTGAGCATGCATTAGTTGCCTGGATATATGCGCTATATAAATATCCTATAATAATAAATAAATAAATAGAACGGAATCCTATGTTAGTTGCATGTATCTGTCTGGTTTTGTAATATCAATATTTCAGTAATTCAAATGATTTCAGTAAATATGCATAATTTTGTTTCTTAAATCGCTGCAAGTGCTACAATGCAAAGATTCAGTGTATTTGTATATGTCACTCAACACTCCCGTGTTCAAATAAAAATTCATGAACAGAATGAAATAGAAATTCATGAAAAACAGTGTGCTGTACCTTGTTCCTAAAAATGAAAACATATCTATGAAAACCAGACTGACTTTAAAAGTAACATCAGTATTTCAGTAATTTAAATGATTTCAGTAAATATGTATAATTTTGTTTCTTAAATTTCAGGAACTATGTATAATTACTGAAAATTTCAATAATATATATAATTTCTGAGTGAATCAGACATTATACATAATTACTGACATTTTCAGTAATTATACATATTTACTGATTATACATATTTCCTGTCACATACATGCCAATAGTAAATATGATTGCTCCATATGCATCGCAAGGCTGCCGCACGGCCATTACGCGGCTGCCGTGCGACCACTACACAATGTCCGTGCGATTTCACGGGCACCGTACGGAGGCCGCACGCTGATCGTGCGGTAGCCGTGCGATGGCCGTGCGGATATCCCACGATCGCCGTACGATATTTTTAAACTAAAAAATCGTGCAGTGCCCGTGCGATGCCACCTACGGGCTACGGACTTACGACTTTTTCAAATTTGTCAAACTTTGCTGTTTGACAAAATCGTAGAGGCTACGACGTAGAAATGGAGCTACGGGTAGTTAACGGGCGCCGTATACCCATCGCAGGCCAAATGTGAATCAGGCATAAGAGATCCGAATGCGCAGAGCCTATAATTGACAGGAGACATCGGAGAGATCGGTTTAGAAAATGAACTTTTTTCAAAAAGTTAATTTCGCAAGAAAGAGATAGATGTCGTAAACATTTTTCAACCAGGTCTGAACGCTGGTGAAAAATTAATGATATGATGCTGAACGTGTCATAAATAGGTTGAGTGAGTGAGTGACTTTAGCTTTACGCCGCTTTTAGCAATATTCCAGCAATATCACGGCGGGGGACACCACAAATGGGCTTCACACAATGTACCCACGTGGGGAATCGATCCCGGATTTTCGACTTGACGAACGAACGCTTTAGCAACTATCCTACCCCCTGTGTGCATATGTAATTGTCTGCCCTCGCGACATTTCCGATGATAGCATCATATTTGTTAAAATGACGTTACACTGTAAAAGAACAGTACATGTAAGGAAGAGTATTTTGGCATTATACTTGCGGAGTTTTATGACGCGGCTGAGGATCTAACCATCAATCCTCAACTTCCAACCAGCAAGGATGTTGCTATTGTTGGAATATTGCTAAAAGCGGCGGAAACCCATACTCACTCACTCACGTAAGTGTTAAATCTCATGTGTTCGAGTTTATCATAGCACCAAGATAGGTTTGCGTAAGAGGACCATTGTTAAAAGAAATAGGGTTCACAATTGATATCGAGCAACACTTATGTAAAGCTCATGATTGACGCAAAAAAAGTGTAGTAGGAACATGTCACAGTAACGTGAAAAACCAACCCTGCAATTTGCAGAAATTTCCAGTTTCCAGTTTCAGATTCCGCAGAAACAAATCTGGCACTAAACAAGCCTGCTTTTCAAAGTTCTGAGTATGGGGACCCAGCTGTGACGGGCGCTGAAAACGCCGTGGACGGTAACACAAACGCCACCTCGTGTACAGCCACCGCCACAAATGACACTAACACCTGGTGGTTTGTGGACCTGCGGGCAGCGTATGAAGTCACCCAGGTGATACTCTGGAATAGAGCTAATTATCGTGAGTGGAGAATGTTCATGTATTTGATGACTTTCACAAAATTATCATGCAACATTTTTGTTTACATTTTTCACTGTAACACATCATTTCTAAAATATATGTCATTTGCTCCCGTCCGTGCCGGAATCCATGATATCGATTCCCAAATGGGCTGTTATTGTGAGTGAGTGAGTGAGTTTAGTTTTACGCCGCACTCAGCAATATTCCAGCTATATGGCTGCGGTCTGTAAATAATCGAGTCTGGACCAGACAATCCAGTGATCAACAGCATGAGCATCGATCTGCGCAATTGGGAACCCATGACATGTATCAACCAAGCCAGCGAGCTTGACCACCCGATCCCGTTAGTCGCCTCTTACGACAAGCATGGGTTACTGAAGGTTCATGTTAACCCGGACCTTCACAGGTCGCTGTTATTGTGATTCTTGGATTGCAGCTATACTCTTCCATGGTACTATAGGGGAAAGCACTTGACGGTTGCATCAAGTTTTCCTTCAACATCTAGCTACTATACACAAAGAACTTAGTTAAACACCCCGGCCCCTGACATGTGTCACGATTGAATGACCTCCGATCTTAACCCTTTGGAGCATATCAGGGACATGATTGATCGACGTGGGCAACAAAGGGATCCTCCTGTACAGAACCTGGGCCAATTGGAAGCTGCTTCACACGAGGAATGGTGTAGACTGTCCCATCAATAAATTCAACATTAAACATTCCAGGGCCATACTTGTTCAGACATGGTTTTGTATGAAAATCAGTGCTGTTTCTTTTAAATGAGCAATTATCATCATAAAATCAACATAGATTCCAATCATTTTGTCATTTTGTATGAGTTAAAGGGTCATACGGGTCAGAAAAACTTATGTTTCCCATCATGGTCACCACGAGAAGTTTTATGGACGTGTTGAAAATGTATGATTGCAAAAATACATGGGGTGCTCAATTAAGTTTTTGTTTATATGTAATCGAAATACTGCTCAAAGCGCATTAACACTCACTGTTCAATAATTAAATTATAAGAATTCATATTTGCTCTCTTCGGACATAGACTTCACACAATGGCTTATATACTAAAACGGTTGTTGCAAGAGAGGTAGCTGTACACATTATATATGCAGCTCCTACACTTCATGTATCACTCTTGCTTGACAACGGTACAAGAATCTGTATCGAAACGTCGCACTCACGAAATAAAGAAGTTGTTATCCATAAAAACTTGTTCTATATTGTACGTCTCAACTTCTAAAATGCCACTCAAACAAGTTATCCACCGTCTACATGGAGACGTGGCAGTTCATACTATCAACTCCCTGTCTCGTCTTGAGAAGAAGCACATCCTCTCAAGTAACCACCTCACCTTCCTGATGAGATGTCGTGACCAACAAATAATCCCTAAAGGCCTACAGCTCCGATCTCCCATCCAGTCTGCAGCAGCCAAAGCCATCCTTCACCTAGCTTCCACAAAACTCCTCACTGAACGCATCCGACATCATCGCAAAATCAAGGCCACCTCCACGTCAGCCAGCAATGACCTCCACACCTCCCTCAGCTCCACCCTTGACCCAGAACTCTTCTCTTTCCTTACGAACTGCCCAAACTACCGCCAACAACAAACTAGACACCTCAACTAAGACCGGACACATCAAGAAACTACAAGAACTCACTGCCTCAGGAACCAAACGCAAGAAATCCACAGCACCAACTATCCACAACACAGTTGTCAACCTCAGCAATAAACAACTCACCAACCAACAGGTCAGTGCCCTTGCCAAAGGTCTCAAATTTGCCCCTACACCACCCAAAATCAACTCGGACATGTTTATCGCCAACATTGAAAAGGGTCTCCAACAACTTGCACCCGGTGGAAAGGTTGACTTCCTCCGACACCAGATCACCAGTATTCTCCACAAAGCCCAGCCTCAGAAACCAAACATCACACCAGCTGACAAACAAGCCATCAGACAACTTAAACAACATCCTGATATTGTCATCGCCCCAGCCGACAAGGGCAGAGCCACTGTTGTCTTAGACAAGGACCACTTCCACTCCATGGTGGATAACCTCCTAGATGACACCTCAACCTACCAAATGATGAAGAGGGATCCGACTACAAAGCTCAACCGTCAGCATAAGGCCACGCTAAAAACGCTGCATGATAAATATGAACTCTCAACAGATCTGTATCGTAAACTCACAGTATCTCACCCCCAGCCACCTTATGCCAGAGCAACAGTCAAAATCCACAAGAACCCCGTTAAAACTCGTCTACTAGTCTGTTCCCGTGACACTGTATTCTACAGTACTGCCCAGTACCTTACCCAAGTACTCTCCCCATTAGGTAAATCTGCCAACTCCTTCATCAATGATTCAACTGACTTCTGCTGCAAGATCCGTGACATCACCAACCCATGTCCCATCATCAGCTATGACGTTGTGGACCTATTCACCAATGTACCTCGGGAAGAAGCCCTTCAAGCACTACGCCACAGAATTGACAACCTCCAACAACCCCTCAACACCAGCCTCTCTACCGACTCTATCATCAGCCTCACCTCCGCCTGCATCAACTCCACCTACTTCACCTGGGGCGATGCCATCTATGAGCAAATCCACGGACTTCCCATGGGCTCCCCACTATCCCCCATCCTAACAGAAATTTACATGGCCGACCTGGAAGAGAAGGCCCTTGAAACTGAACCTTTCAAACCGTCCTGCTGGTACCGCAAAGTGGATGACACCTTCGTCATCCTCCAACCTCAGCAAGATCCAAAGCAGCTCCTCGCCCATCTCAACAGCCAACATCCCCGCATCAAATTCACCATCGAAACAGAGCAGAACAACCAACTACCTTTCCTTGATGTCCTTGTGTCCCGCACCTCCAGCAACCAACTCCAGACCTCCGTGTACAGAAAACCTACTCATACGGATCAATACATCCACTACAACTCCAACCACCCCCCTAAAGTCAAGACCGGCGTCATCTCTACATTGACCAGAAGAGCCAAAAACATCTGCTCTACAAACCTACAGGAAGAAATTGAACACCTGAGGAAAGTCTTTGTAGAACGCAACCACTACCCACCTGAAATAGTCAGCAGAACCATCGAAGCAACGCTTTCACCTCCTGCCAAAAGATCTAAACCAGAATCAGCCCCCATCAAGATATCCATTCCCTACATTGGCAAACCATCACACCAAATCAGCCGACTCCTGAAACAACAGGCAGGCATAGACACAACCTTCTCAGCGTCCTCCAGCCTCAACAACCTCCTCCATGCCAACGGAAGAAAACAACTCACCGTCGACAACAACAACCCGAAATGTGTTATTTACAAAATAAACTGTGATTGTGGACAATGCTACATAGGTGAAACATCCCGACCCATCAACACCCGAGTCAAAGAACATCGCACCTCTGTTGCTAATTCCGACACCAAGTCAGCTATCTCTGACCACATCAAAGCTAACCCCAATCATCAAATAGAGTGGTCCGACATCACCATTCTCGCCAACAACCAAACGGACTTCACTAAACGCAAGCTCACAGAAGCCATTCACATCAAACGCCACAAGCCCACCATCAACCGCGACCAAGGATACTTCATTCCACTCCTCCACCAAGCCCAATCTATTGTATAAACATCGCATCTATTGTTCACACATCTCATTGTAACTACATCTCTGGCTTCCATTCACTATCCTTTGTGTACTCACTGGCTTCTTCAGCTTACTGCTTAGCCAATCATGGCAATTATGTTGTTTCCTTTGTCTATTATGTTGTTTCATTGTTATATACAGTATATATATGCAGCTCCTACACTTCATGTATCACTCTTGCTTGACAACGGTACAAGAATCTGTATCGAAACGTCGCACTCACGAAATAAAGAAGTTGTTATCCATAAAACTTGTTCTATATTAAGAATTCATGTTTGCATTTTTCGGACATAATATTGCTGATGGGATGTTTTATTACACACAATGACTCATATACTAAAACAGATGTTACAAGAGGGCTATTATGATGATAATTAATTCTTGTTATATATACTGAGGGTAAAAGAAAGTATACCGAGCTCATGTTTATTTATAATTGAAAGGACTGTTGTTAAGTGTGATTATGTCGGTGCTCATTCACTATTTGTTAAAATTACCTGTAAAATGAGCAGTTTTATGTAAAAATATATTGGTACAACGAAGGCTGAGGTACGTAAGATATCAGTTGACAATCATATGATCCCAACCATTTTAAATGTTGTGAAATTGTGCCAAAACGGGCAAAGTTTCAAGAATATATATGATGTCTCAGATATGTATCAGCAATTGTGTTTTATACTTTTGTTTAATTAGGTGTTTAATCGAGATAGAAATAAAATCATGTTGACATATTTTTAAAATGCTGACTCAGCGCTAGTGCAGTTAATTTTTATGTAATATTGATAACATAATATATTTTCAATTGAAAATCAAACATATGATGAAATCACCTCAGATAAATAGTTTCTATTAATCTATCCTCAGCCGATATAAAACGTTTTCCTGACATAAACTTGTGCTCAAAAGAAACTATACACTGCAAAATAGTTCATAAAAATTCACATGCAAAATGAAGACATAAAACCCTAATGAGCACTACCACACACGTACAGGCCAATCCTTTCCGGGAACAAACGGTGAAACAGGTAAACGAATCACCAAAACGTCGCAAAAAATCCAAAACTTTTTCATGTAACACGGAATGCACGTGCATACTGACGATATACAACAGCCTACGTGACACGTGAGCAACACAGCAGTAAAAAAGAACACAACAAATATGCCACGTTTGAGGCAAATCGAAAGAGAGAGAGAGCTGTCAGACAAGAAGCAAACCACACCATCATTGCCAGAACCTTCGGCTGCACCCGAGCAACTGTCATCAGACTGATGCAACGACTAAGACAAACAGGCAATACGTCAGACAGGCCTAGGAGTGGTCGACCACGTGTGACAACGCCCGGTGATGATCGCCACATCCGGATAATTCTTCTGAGAAATCGTTTTGTAACGGCGACGTCAACGGCAGCAATGACACCGTATCAGTCTACATACAAGGTACCGGCAACTAAGAGAACAGGGTATTCGAGCACGTCCACCCTTCCGTGGAGTGTATCTGACTCTTTAAAACGACGTCGTCGATTGACATGGGCCATGCGAGGTTGGCAGATGCGTAATTGGCGACGTGTGATTTTCACCGAAGTGAGTAGGTTTTGCCTATACAGTAATGACTGCCGGGCTCGTGACGCAAGGCCTCATACAGCAAGACTGACAAACGACTTACGAGGTTATTTTGCCTGGACCAGCATGTTCTCCAGACATGAATCCGATAGAAACCTTATCGGACTACCTAAATCGGCAAATCAGAAGACGACCAGCGCCACCTGCCAATGGCCTAGGACAATGGCTCCTACGGGAATGGCAACGTCATTCGTCGTCTTAAGTCATCAATGTGGCGGCGTATTTGGGCGTGTATTGAAGCCGTTTGTTTTCTTTTCAGGTTTGGTCAAACACACTGTATACTTTCTTTTCAGCACTAGTTTATAAACAATGATACTAGTTGTGGGGAGAACGTCCTGAACTCATGTAAGTAGTTTCCAAATTTTGCTTGCCAGTCGGGCTAGCTATGCCAGAAGGTTAATAGTCCACAAAACCTGAATGTAGAAATTTAGCAAAAGATTACAAATGTAAAATACCATGATAATTTATCATGTCATAATCTTGCATGATTTAAAAGTGTATTATAACTTAACAAGTCGGAGAGAGTGATATATTTAAAAAATGACGCCATTAAAATTCACAAGGCAGTCGGGCCAATAACTGGAGATTTACAGGCCCGACTGGATTTTGATTATTTCGCACACTGTACAGCAGTTATATTTTTTGTTCGGGATCGCTGAACAGGCTTACTTGGCTAATACAGTACCCTAACTCTGAATAAATTATTGTTTTAGTTTTATTTACACACACACTTAACATAAATCATGACCTGTTTTTGACCATGAACGTGGTTTGTACTCAGAATTCGATAATCTGACATTCTCGTTAATGCGACAATTTGCTGTGCAACGGACGATGTCGGATTAACAAGACTTGACTGTAGCTGGAATATTTTACCTTTCTGTTATAAATAACAGTATTTATATATACAAGTGCCTCGTTGCCTTCTACAGCGGAACGTCTGAGGAACCTTGTTGTGGAGGTAACAAGCTTCAACCCCGTAACGTACCCGGCCGCATACAGAAAACTCTGCAGTAGATTTCCAGGAATTGCCGGAACCCAAGAGAACCTGACTTGTGACTCCCCTCTGATTGGCCGATTTGTAAGAATCAGTAAGATTCACGTGCACGGGACTAGCGAGTACCTAGCCCTCTGTGAAGTGGATGTAAGAGGGAATCCGTTACAAACAGGTATGACTAATTGGTATATTGATGAAATATTCTTCCAAATCATGTTGGTTTCTCGTTGAAATAGTTCAGGGCCCGGTTGTTTAATACTCGGTTTTCGTAACCGCCGGTTAACTCCTAATGGCCGGTTAAATCCTTAACCGGTCGTTAGGTAACCGAACGTTAAATATGCGTTGTTGTAAACATGGTTAGTCATGCCGTTAGCTAACGTCGCCGTCAAAGTTTAACAGTGTGGTTAACGTCACTGGTTAGCTTCCATATATCCCATAATTCCGTTTTCTGTTTACTTCCGGTTTACGAAAAATGGAAACGCAAAATGTCGCCTGCACCCCAAGGAAAAAGAGAAGTCGAAATTTCTCTGCTGACGAAGAGAATGTAATCCAGTCAATGGTTGAGGCCAACTCTATAGTTTATCATAGGCATGCGAATGTCGTAGCGCTACGAACGTTTTGTATTGGAACACAAGGTTCCAGCCGTTTGCATAATTTATATTTCAAAGACATATGATCCCAGCTCTGTGTCATTCTCTTCCCACAGAGGTTACTCCTATCATATCTTCCTACGTAACCTCTGTTCTAATACGGCCCTTTCATGGTGTGAGCGTTCAAGACTCGTGATTGGAGGCAATCAGATTTAGCTGTGCAATCAGCGACGTTGTTTCAAAAGTGATCATTCGCAAGGCCTCGGTAATTTCCGTATACTTCGAGAAAACTAAACCCTCTTCCCTTGCGCGATGCGCAAACGTTTCTACTAGACAGAACTCAGTCATGTTATGGCGGATCAGTGGCGTCTCCATCGCCCTCGTTGACAACGGACAAGCTAGCCATTAAACGTCTTGTGTGTAACATCAACACAAGTCCCCGGCAGATGGGGGATATTTGTGGCCTCACATATGCTTGTGTTAGTCAAGTTGAATCTAAGTCGATGTAACACGTGTTCTGATTGGATAGAAAGAAGGGAGATAATTTGTGTTGCGATCTTTTGCCGCTAGGGGATTTTACGAAAACCGGGAAATATGGCCGTATTAGAACAGAGGTTCGTAGGAAGATATGACAAGTAACCTCTGTGGGAAGAGAATGGCTCTGTGTGGTACTTACTTCAATTCCAACAACAGAAAAGACATTTTAATGAAAAAACAATAGCACAGCTATAGATAAAATATGATGAATCCATGAAAATAATATTAATATTAGAAGCATGTTGTCCGTGGATAGAAAATGTATAAATATTACACACAGAGTTACGCTTAGACGGCTACAGTCTTAATGAATCTTTGAATTCCCACAACACCTATCGCTCACTTTTCACTCCTTAAATTGTCATTACTGCCAAGTCGTGAAAATGCTATCAATATCATTTATTAATTATTTGCCAAGTCTGTCAAAACATTGCCAAATCTTTTAACATCAAACAATATAGATGTTGTGAAATTAATACCATAGCTTTTATCTTAAATATGCATTCAATGCCAATAGAAACTGAATATGTGACTAGCACAAAGTGCAAGTAATCAAACTGTTATTGTACTATAGGCCCCAGGGCCAACACTACTGAATAAAATCGATCTATTATCCGACCTTACTGTTGACAGGAATCTCATGAATAATACTGTGCAATATCGTCATTATCTGAACGCCTTCACAGACGCATATTCCGGAAAGATGTCTTGAAAAACATGAAGCTGCGTCTAATTTATAGATGAACATAATTTCCTCGATACTCATTAATCAGATGAACCTTCATTTTGTTCAATTCACAAGTGACTGCAGAAAATGCATAATTCTTTTTAATGACTTCACGGTCGGAAAACATGTATTATATTTCATAGGTGTATCATGTGTAGGATAAAGCACGACTCCGAGGTTATGGTTGGGAAAGTAAGACGCGCTCTCGGTCTTACTTCTCCCCACCCGATGGTCGAGGGCTTACTTTCCCAACCATAACCGAGGAGGATTGCTTTATTATACATATAAACCAACAATGATGGATAATTTGATGATCATGTAATGAAGCTACATAACAGTAACTGAAGCGCTAGTAAAATCAATTGAATGACAGAGGCCTAACTATAAAAAGATAATTCAACCCCCGCTCTTTGTCGGCCGAGTGGCTGTGAGGTAGAGCGTCTGCCTTTGAATCTGAAATATGCGGGTCCAATCCTGCTAGGAAAACATTTGCACATTTAAGTTGATCTTTGAGGATATTTTTCAGTTGATTCCAAACACTAACATATCATCTGAATTTGAATGCTGATGTTAATATAGAGATAGGAAAAAGTAAAACCTGGGAAGAGGTCTTACTTACGAAAAGTAAAACCGGGGAATAGGTCTTACTTACGAAAAGTAAAACCTGGCAGCAAATAAAAACCTCAAATGCGGTTATTCTGGGAAAAGAAGCCATGTGTAATATATAGTGAGAAGCAGCCTTCAGGTTTATATCAGGGGCGGATACAGCTTTTTGAAAAAGGGGGGGTGCATAGTTCATTTTTGCCCGAGACCAAATGGCAAGCTTAGAATGTGTATTTTGGATAAGGTGGCAAATATACACAGCCTTCCACGACGCCTCTTGTGGCTTTGTGACCCAATGGTTAGTTGCAGACATTAATCTGCATAAGATTGTGCTACAGTTTGTTACAGCCAGGTGCATTAACTAGTTACTTGTATGTTACCTCTACACAAAGACTTGTGTCACAGAAAGCTACTGATAGAGGATGCATTTCTCAAACATACGTCTGCGATGCTTTTTCACATATTTGTGAACTATCTCATCAGAAACTATTTTCTTGTCCTGGTTCAGGTGGATCAGTGTCAGTCCAGTCAAGCGCTCCTGACCCATGGTACTCCTCAGATGCATCTTCAGCCTTTTAAGGCCAGAAAATGTCCTTTCTGCTTCAGTGCTTGTAACTGGAAGTGTAACGGCAATTGTGAGCAGCTGACGGATGTTAGGGAAAACATCCTCATCAGCAGATTTCAAGCTTTCGATTGCACCTTCAGGGTGGTATTCCTGTGACAACCAATGAAGGCGCCAACTTCGGAGTTCTGCCAGAAGAGAAGACACCATTGGCAAGTCATTCTCCCAGAACATTAGGTTTGCTTCCAACTGTAGTAGATCTGAACAACAGCACATGGCAGAAGACCAAACAGTTCAATTCCAGGACGGTTCTCTGGACTGAACCTTGTGTTCATCTCTTCTTGCAGGTGGTCAAGGAAAGGAATGATCAAATTGAGCTTGAAGTGTTCTTCGGGAGATTGGGATGGTGCATTCGCTTTCTGTGTCATCCTCTTCACAATCCGAGGAAGACGTATTTCAGCATCTAGCTGTTCTGCAATAGCACAAGCTTCCACATACCAATCATGACTCCTTTGATCCACATCAGCCCTCATGGTTTTAATCATTGATACCCTTTCGTCAATAAGTTTGTAAGCCATGCAGATGTCATTGTCCCTTTTTTTGAAGTTTGACTGCCAGTGGTTTAACAACTTCAAGTGCATTATGGGCAAACAACAAACGCCATAATGTGTTGCGAATCTCTCAGAATGGTCAAAAGCCCTTGTGCTTTTATGGTTGTCTCTTTGTCCCATGCCCAGTTCTCATCACGATAAATGTCTGCATGGTTTCGAGGATATTGGATGGCCTCAAAACATGTGCAAATATGGCTTTACAACGTTTGAAAGACGTCAAAGCACACATGCCTCTCAACCCATCTAGTCTTGCAAAATCCAAAAAGACGAGTTCTTTTCGTATCAGTGCAAAACGCTTTCAGAACTCTCTCTAAAAACCTCTGGCGTTTTGGTGAATTGTCAAAGAAAAGAAAAACTTGGTTGATGTTGTCCATCATGTTTCTGATTGGAGGGAGTTTGCATGAAGCCGCAACACTCAGATTCAGAACATGGCTGTTGCAATGCGTGTACAAAGCCGTAGGTGCCAATGTTTTGACATGAGCCTGAACGTCAACTCGAGATGAAGACATGCAGGATGCACCATCATAGCTTTGTCCTCGACACTTGGTGATATCAATGCCTTGGTCTTTCAGTGACTTTGAAATAGCCTCTGCAATATGCTGACCTGTTGTTCTTTCTAAATGTACATAATCACAGAATGTCTCTTTGATAGTCATTGTATTTTGATCAACATATCTCAGGCAAAGACCAAGAACCTCAACATTGGAAAACGTATCTGTGACTTCATCTGCAATCACAGAAAACACAGCCCCTTCTTTTTGAAGCTGAGTGACCACCTCTGAGCGAATGTGGTCACCAACTACTTCAATGAGTTCATTTTGAACTGTTTTGTTCGTATATTGGGTGTTTCTTCTGCCAAACTCTAAATGATGACGTAGTTTGTCATCTCTATCTGCCAGTAGATTTAATATGGCCAGAAAGTTTCCCTTGTTTGGCTGTTCTGTTGTCCTGTCATCTCTGTGCCCCCTCAGAGACAAACCTTGTCTGCCACAGAGTATCACTGTGTCAACTATTTGTTTCAGAATGTGGCAGTTCAAGTCGTACATCTCCTTATTCTGTTGAGATATCCGATAAGGTAACGACCTTTCAGGTTCTTTGTAAATGTGTAGGAAGTCCAACGCCGCAAGAACAGCTTGTTTGTGAAAAAAGGTATTCTGGTGAGTCTCAAATGCACCATTTTCCCCAGTTGCTTTAGACAAATTTGTGAAAGGATACTTTACTAAAGACCCTGCGCACTTTCGCTCATCACCCAGGTTTGGAAACAGAACACACATTTTACATAAGCCTCCACCTGCTGCTGGACTGTACACTAGCCAACTGTACTTATTCAACCAGCTGTGCTGGAATACAAGACGTGTTACTCGTTTCTGTTGTGGTCGAGCTCTTGTTTGCGAAACAAACCCATTATATTCTGAAGTGGGATGAAAGTGATGTTTCAGGTATTTGTACTTTTGATCTGTTCTCAAAGTACTGAGGTTAAGTTTCCCTGAAACAATATCCCCAACGTCAATGCCGTCATACCTTACAGACGTGCTCTTCGTCTCAACTGGATCAATGCCAGGCACCGACATTTTCGGCTTCTTGTTAGCTGGTTCACTGCTGCTGTCCTTCATATCCCTGGTATCGGATTGTGAGGAACCAGACATTGTGAAGCCTTTTTCGGGTGCCTTTTCCAATACACTATCAGCTGAGTATGTGTTACCAAGATTCACACTTTTCACTTCGGAAAACTCTGTATCTGGCAAAGCACACTTACTTTCCATCTCTCCAGTTTCAATACAGGCCACAAAATGGTTAGGTTTCCATCCCGCTGTGTCTGTGCTGGTCATGTGGGTCCACATGATACAGATAGGTGGGGTCTTTATTTCCCCAACGAGTGGTGTGATGGTTTGGTGCATGACCTGTCGATCAATTGCTACACTCCGAATATTGGGATAAACCGATATGACCTTGCGCTGAAAAGCATTGCTTTCCGCGTATATGTGTATAAGAGAGGAATACCGTCCATTGTTTACAGTGTTAAGTACCTCTTTCCGAAAGGTTTGTTGCATAGATGAAGTCACAAGTGATTCATCAGCTGCTGAGGTAACAACGACATACTGTAACAAGTTCTGCTTTTCCTTGGCTTTCCCACCTGACATAGAAGCAAGTGATGACTGGTTGATGTATAGCTTCTCGTTCACGACAAGTTCATTTATGATACGCACCCGGCATTCGAGATGGTGAGTTTCATCACCCAAAAGTTGTTGGGAGAAGGCTCGAAGGAGACAATTTCCATCACCAATGCATGCAACTGGATGTCGAGATGTCGGAACATCAGCTGGATAAAGACCGACAGCCACGGAATCGCGAGCAAACTTTATACACTTTGGTACTTGATCAGGTAAATAGAACTGTTTGATACTCTGCGACCTCAGAGAAAACTGAAACCTCAAACATTCCCAGCCTTGTTTGGCTGCACTAACTAATGCTGAATGCAGCCGCTGGTAATGTACCACACGCTTCTGGTCGTCCATAATAAAATGTTTTCTACATGTAACAATCTTACTTAGTCAACAAGATAAATTTAAAACCAACAGGTACACAAAAATTATTGCAAATCGGAAAAAACCTATGGACTGAACACAATAGCACATTGACCATCTGTAAGCTGAAACTAAATTTATATGAAACAAAATGACAACTATGAAAACGAACTATGAAGCCCTATTTTGGAAACGTAACTAGAAAATGGAAAATTAAATTTAATCCAAAAATGATTGATTTATCATGAAATTATGAACTAGCAACACTGGGATGAGAAATCCTAGAAACAATTGTCAAAGGTCTATACTGCTCGAGAACCGAGATGAAAGACCAGTTATAAAGAATGCAGCCAGTTATTACTATTCGCAGCAGCGATGTGTTGGTGCGTCTGGTCAGAACGAAAGGCGAGCGAGAAGTGACAATGCCTGCTTTGGACTGTGAACCTTTTGGTGCATGCACAACACCTGGACATGGACCAAGTCAGACCAAGCGATTTGGTGTAAGGGCAAACCAGCCACCTGACTAGCTGAAAACTCTAGGGTATGCGCCAAATATTGTTGAATGATTATTGTCGTGAAGAGATATGGCACTGCTGTCCCTTTGATATCAATGTTATAGACTGTTGTATTCAGAAATTACAGTTAACTGTTGAGATGGATTGGCGGTTTTAAAGACTTTCTTTTCATAATCATCTTAGTGTGAGATATCGATCATAGGTCCACCACAAACTTTGGAAAGGGCGGGGGGTGCACCCCCGTTTTCACGAGAGTTTCAATGGTCATTTAATAACTTTCAGGACAAAAGGGGGGTGCGCACCCCTGCACCCCCCCCCCCCCCCTCTGGATCCGCCTATGTATATGGAACGCTGTAGTAGATGAACATAATTTCCTCGATACTCATTAATCAGGTGAACCTCCATTTAATGCATAGATAGTTCCTTCCAATGTCTTCAAGGACGGAAAACACGTATTATATTTCATAAGTGTATTATAGAACGCTGCAACGATTCGGCAGAGAAATACTATTGTGCCATTGTATTCCTTCTATGAACCTATCAGTGTATAACATTAGCATTCAGATATTGTTATAAAATAAGTTAAAAATTCGAAATATTATCGTGTAATATGACAAGAGATAGAACTGTGTTCGCTGTGAGAAAAAGGTATCGATTTTTAAATATAACATTTAATCAAAGTGACAACGAAGTAGGCCTGCATATCACTCACAACAGAAATAGATACATAATAATGTTTTGTTTATTTTCCTACACATCAGTTGCGAGTTTTCGTCAATTTATATAGCATTAAAGATGATTTGCTTCAATTAAAACATTCGAAGAATGAAAAAGAAATTAGGCCTATTGCCGAAATGATTAGTAAAAATATAATTAAGATCTATCTATGGGAAGGGTTGCCAGGCGGACATATCCAAACAAAATCGGATAATTACTTGGAGTATAGACTTTCAAAAATAGCATATTAATTAACAATGATATCAGTTTTTTCATAAAATCACTAATAATTCTGAAACGTTGCCGATAAACCCGGAATCGTGTTCAGATGTTTTCATAATACACTCACACGAACGCCCAAGTGCACTTTGCGCCCTTTTGGATAGTGTTTACAAAATCACGTTTCGCGAAGGCCGGTATTGAAACGCCAATTACATCACTTATATTTCATATTCAGCGGCGACTCGAATCCGGGTCGGGTACAGCTGGAATCGAGTCCTATTTCTAGGAATCGAGTATCCGGAAAGGGAGAGAGCTCTGTAATGACAAGGGCAGACAATAGCTTGTCTTTTTCATTTTTGACGTAACACACATTTACATCATTGAGTGAGTGAGTGAGTTTAGTTTTACTCCGCACTCAGCAATATTCCAGCTATATGGCGGCGGTGTGTAAATAATCAAGTCTGGACCAGACAATCCAGTGATCAACAACATGAGCCTCGATGTGCGAAATTTGGAACCGATGACATTTGTCAACCAAGTCAGCGAGTCTGACCACCCGATCCCGTTAGTTGCCTCTTACGACAAGCATGGGTTACTGAAGATCAATATTCTAACCCGGAAATTCACGGGTTTTTACATCATTGGTATTGTCCGATTAATGGAGCATAGTTTTAATGACTGTAATTTATCTGTGCATGAGCAGTGAGTAGTTAAGTTACAGTAGCAGCAGGAACGAAACGTTCGTTGTTATAACGAGGAATGTAAGTAATGGTGTTACTCTCTATATTGGTTAAACAGACGTAAATTAAATAGCTTGAGGTCAGTTTTAATGTCTTATTACCAACTGTTCAAGTTTTCTATAATAATCTCTGTCAAATCGTGTTTGAATATTCAGAAAGTTGACCCGAATGTATTTCTTACATTTCCGGTATACTCGATTCTGATTCGGGTAAGTACATGCGGGTACTCGATTCCACTTTTTCTACTCGTCCCAGCCCTACTGAATTCCTCATACATTTTAGAATCTAATTACAACTGGTCTTTGTCACCAATACCAAGTGTCTAGATAAATTGAAACGAAAGATATTGGGGGTGGAAAGAAATGCTGTGCTCGAAAGACAACACCTGTTTGAAATGTAACAAAGAAAATTTCAGACTTTACACTGTGTAGCATTTTCTCAAATTTTCAGACACCCATTTGCATGGAAAGAGCATAGTAGCAAGAATTAGGAAATTAAAAATAGATACAATACAGGAATGTGATGTGTTTACACGAAACTGTCAAGTTTCTGTGCTGCGTGACGCCATGACTGACGCAAAATCACGCAGAACGACAGCGGTAATAATCGGCATTTCTGGCTTCTTCTCTTTCTTAAAATGGGAGTGTATTTGGCAATTTCTCTGAGGTGAAGGTCGGTAGAATAAGAGTATACACAATCACCATATCCCGCCCATTACACTTTCAGTATCATAATGTAATCGTTTGGATATTTTTTTCATGAAACTAATTTAATTTATCTACATTTAGCCTTGTTCAATATCATATCATACGTGGTTAAAGGGTGTACATGTTATATTCTTTGAAAGTGTTTGTTTGAATAATATTTACAGAAGAAATTCACACATTTAGTGTGGTAAAGCACATATAAACCTTTCCACAAGTGTTAAAAATGAAACGTAGGCATCATGTACTTGTACATGTTTTTAGTTCCTATGATGTGCATAGTTACAGTTTCGTATGTAACTCTTCGTCAGAATAATTTCCAATATCCAAGTCCAGTCCACGATACACCCTATCCTTTCTTTGCTGAACTGGCCTCATGAAAGCAGTGTTAGCCATGAACGCCATTTGCTAGTTAACCACACTGTTAAAAAGTTAGCGGCGGTCCTTAGGTGTGTTAACTTAACGTCACGTTAACAGCCTGTTAAAAGTTAACAGAGTTTTGAACAACAAGACAACCCTCTGTAATTAGGTAACAGTCAGTTAAATGTACTTAACGGCTGGTTAAAAGATAACCGAGTTTTGAACAACCGGGCCCTGATTGGTTACCCATATAAACGTACCACATTCAAATCTGTCTGATTGTTGAAATGTCCCCAATATCTAGAAACCACGGGTGAAGGAAAAGGGCATCTTTGAGAGGCATTGCGTTAGAACAAATACCGAAACGTCGCCCCCACTGTAATAAAGAAGCTGTCCAGCATTTATTGTTATCATTCAAAAATGGCAAATGAGGGGAAGAAGAAGTATCACCTCACCTCACCTCACCTCACCTCACCTGTAGCAAACTGAATCAGACATCACTCTGTTGCAGGTGCTACCGGTTCAAACGTGGCCTTACACAAGGTGGCCTACCAGAGTTCTACATACGTTTACCTCAACTACGACACCAGTGCGGGAAATGCAGTTGACGGCAACACCAACAGTAGACTAGAAGACAACTCCTGCACACATACCATCACCGGCGACGTGAACACGTGGTGGTTGGTGGACTTACTAGATGTGTACGAGGTCACCAATGTAACACTGTGGAACAGAGACATTGTCGGTGAGCAGTGACTTAAGGACAGACCACATACTTTGAGCAGGGTGTTGGGGAAGGGGGACGAAGTTTGTAGATGTCTACGATGTCACCAATGTAACACTGTGGAACAGAGCCATTGTCGGTGAGCAGTGACTTAAAGACAGACCACATACTTTGAGCAGGGTGTTGGGGAAGGGGGACGAAGTTTGTAGAGGTCTACGAGGTCACCAATGTAACACTGTGGAACAGAGACCTTGTCGGTGAGCAGTGACTTAAAGACAGACCACATACTTTTGAGCCTGGGGTAAGGGGTGAAGGTGTGTGGGGCGGGGAGAGAAGGAGGGGTCAGGGAAGAAGAGGAGCAGCCCTAGATCTACTAAACTGCCGGGGTAAATAGAGCACACATACCTATGTAAAGCAAACTAGTGAGTGAGTGAGTAAGTTACGCCGCTTTTTTAGCAACGTGAACACGTGGTGGTTGGTGGACTTACTAGATGTGTACAGAGGTCACCAATGTAACACTGTGGAACAGAGACATTGTCGGTGAGCAGTGACTTAAGGACAGACCACATACTTTGAGCAGGGTGTTGGGGAAGGGGGACGAAGTTTGTAGATGTCTACGATGTCACCAATGTAACACTGTGGAACAGAGCCATTGTCGGTGAGCAGTGACTTAAAGACAGACCACATACTTTGAGCAGGGTGTTGGGGAAGGGGGACGAAGTTTGTAGAGGTCTACGAGGTCACCAATGTAACACTGTGGAACAGAGACCTTGTCGGTGAGCAGTGACTTAAAGACAGACCACATACTTTGAGCAGGGTGTTGGGGAAGGGGGACGAAGTTTGTAGATGTCTACGATGTCACCAATGTAACACTGTGGAACAGAGACCTTGTCGGTGAGCAGTGACTTAAAGACAGACCACATACTTTTGAGCCTGGGGTAAGGGGCGAAGGTGTGTGGGGGCGGGGAGGAGAAGGAGGGGGTTGGGGAAGAAGAGGAGCAGCCCTAGATCTACTAATTTGCCGGGGTAAATAGAGCACATACCTATGTAAAGCAAACTAGTGAGTGAGTGAGTAAGTTACGCCGCTTTTAGCAATATTTCAGCAATATCACGACGGGGGACACCAGAAATGGGCTTCACACATTGTCCCCATGTAGGGGAATCGAACCCGGGGTTTGTGAAGGGCACATGCGATTTAACCACTGGGTTAATCTACATCCCCAAAACAATCTGGAAATGAAATGAATATTCGATGGTGTTCTCGTGTATTTTGCTATTTCGGTTGTGTTTTGGACATTTACCTTAAACTGTTAACGAACTGTTTTCAAACTATAGACTGTAGTATCGTTGGATTATGTTTTTTCGAAATTTCTCTGTTTTTACATTCCAGTTTTCATTCCGTCTCAAACAAACTTTCGGGTCCAAATTCTGTTTCAGGACGTTTTTATAAATATTCCAACCGTATCACGAATATTGAACTTATTTGGGGAATCTAACACTCAAGCGAACTCTTACGAACGACATTCGAATCACTAGCCTAACTAACACCATACACATTTGCTTTGTGCGCACTAATGTTACATAAAAAGTATTGTTGTGTTTGTTAAAAACAGGAATCTCTTTTATATACATCTTGTTTTAAGCTTCGGAAATGGCCTTCACACATCGTACTATGGGGTGTCGAACCCGGGTTTTCCTGCGCCCTGATTCGAGTTAAAGTAGATAATATATTCTCTACTTTTAACGTAATAATTTATTTCATCCCCAACAGCTGATCGTCTTCAAAACCTAGTTCTTCAAGTGGGAAGCCAACTGCCGGTTGTTTTACCAATCCCTCAAGCGGAACTCTGTACGGCCTTTCCTGGAACAGTTGGTGCGCAGGTGACCTTGACCTGTGACGCACCTGTGATTGGTCGATTTTTCATAGTCCGAAAAGTCCATGTGTCCGGGACAGATGAATATCTGACAATGTGTGAAGTTGCTGTCAGAGGGAATTTAATAAAATCAGGTGTGTATTAATTTGAGTGAGTGAGTGAGTGAGGTTTTACGCCACTTTTACCCTACATTTGTACAGAACAAATAGCCCCTTCTATCTTGCTAATTGTAGTTAGCCTCTATCTCAAGCTGAATTATTATTCGTGTCCTATGGCGCCCCTAAATGTACTGGGGTGGTGGGGTAGATTAGTGCTTAAATCGTTCGCTTGTCACGCCGAAGACCCGGGTTTGATTCCCCACATGGGTACAAATGTATGAAGGTCATTTCTGGAGTCCCCCGCCTTGGTAGTCCTGGAATATAGCTAAAAGCGGCGTAAAACTTAACTCACTCTAAAATGTGCCAGTACAATTTCGATTTTAAGGAACTGTTTTATCTATGGTACTATGGTCTCCCTTTTTTGAAGGTTTAAACGTTAATGTTTAAGCATTCTTGAATACCATTAAACAAATGTCTGATAGGATAATATTCCAGAAACAAGCCGTTGAGCTACATGAAAAATTGTTTCTTAGGACACAAAAACTATCTAAAGTTGGGCAAATAATAGGAGAAAAGAAAAGTGTAGATTCGATTAATTACTTATTTGTACAACACACAATGTTTCAGACTGTGGTCCACAGTGTCTCAAAGCGGAAGTAGGAAAACGGTTCATGACTGACAACGCCAGCAAGTTCGTCACCGTACTTTCACCTGCTGAATGCGCGAGTGACTGCCACCGGAACATCCGCTGTCTCGGCTTGAACTACGAGATGTCAACGGGAACCTGCGAGATGATATATAAGCTAAAACCCTCTGTGGAGCAACTGACCAACGCTCCCGGCTGGAAATATTATGGATATAATATCTGTTGAAAACCATTTCCTGTCCTGGAGTGTGAATTACCTTACTCCATCACCACAGTCTGTTAAAATAACACCTGTGCAAAAGTAATAACTGATGTAAATAGTGTCGGGCTTGAGGCCATATGGATACAGGTTAAATGCAAATCTGGAACATATTACCGATGAAAACACTCAATATTGGAATTGAATAAATCAATCAATACGCAATGCTATTGATCTTTATGAATTAATTCGTTATTGTTACTGGCGATTTTAATATTCACATACTCCAGGATAACAATTCAACAATAACGAACATTTGCAATCTACATCTCTAACAATATCATCATGCTATCATGATGACACCTAACTCTAAAGCATTGATAGAGTTGTTTGTATCAAGTGTTACCGAGGTCAGATGCCATTTGTAGCGATCCAGTATGTAGCGATCTTTTGTAAAATTATTTTCCTCCAGTATGTACGTCACAAAGCATTCCACCATTCTAATTTATGGCAAGATTGTCTAAACGCAACATCTCCTCTTGAGGAAGTTTAGAAACTACTCATGCTTAAATGCTAATATCCTCTTTACATCATATTACGTACTTTAGATCATCGCATCACCATGCTTCAGGTCGTCAGAGGCAAGTTCGCGATATCTCTTACTGATTTTACTGACCGGTGTCCAAAACCTGTCCGAAATTATTTGAAGCGCCTTAAAATCACGCAGAATGTCGTACTGTGAAACTTGCCAGGTCTGAAAACTCTCTGTTCAAAATGGTTTTCTCAGTAATAAATCATTAAAGCTCAGTATGTGCTCTGTGTGACTATGGATATGCAGGGATATTTTTCAACATGTGACGCACCCATCTTATGCAAAACATATCGCCTCGATAAGGGGAGGGGTAGGGCTGTTTCATTGGTTGTACACAGTGCAAAACAAAAGGGTAGTCTATACATGTACTTGACCATGTTTGACCTACAAGACACATATGGAGAAACAGTAAGTGCAACGTCTTATGAAGAGAAGTGCAATACAAGTAAATAGTGTCGATTGAGGTACAAAAACATACACCATTAAAGGTCCATTTATAATTCGCTATAGGTTGCATTTACCTATAATGCTTATGGCGTAAATTATGTTAACCTTTTTGTTTCATTGTTTGGTGATTAACGCTGCATAATCAAGTCACATGACGGCGGTCTGTCATTATTCGAGTCTCGAGAATCAAGTGATCGACATCATGAGCATCAATGTGCGCAATTGCGATGACATCAAACAAGTAAGCGAGTCAGACCACCCGTTTATATAGCCCCTTACAATAAGTATGAATTTTCTTCTTTTTCTAAAAACATTTTTTATTGTTCCCAAATTTACAAGCACGATACGCACATCAGATACGACGGAGAATGACAAGTATGGATTGCCTAAGACCAATGCTAACCCCGGTTTTCAAGAGTCTCATACAAGCGGCGTAAAACAATACCAACTCATTCATATTTATCAGCGCTTGAGAGGACTGGATGATCACATTTAATGACGTGAGGGAGATTGTGAACATTGTTGTGTATATTCATCACACATAGTGAACCAACTCACGACCACAAGACAGTCTGTTTTTCAAGAATGAAAATCCCAATAATCTTCAAATTCATTTTTCATTTTTCCAGCAATATAAATTAGAATAAACGCGATGATGTTTTAGAGTTATCGCCCTTTTTATATGGCGACCTGCAATTGGAAAGCTCGTTATGAAACATACAAAACAAAACAAAAAAAATCCGTACATTTAATATCAACTCAGTTATTTTTGCTGATGTGGACTTCAGTTCGGGGAAGTCATTATAATAATGTGTGATAAGGATAGTGCTTAGTTAGCAATATCCCAGCTAGATAAGGATAATGGGCAGTAGGACAGGACTACATAGGAATTTCTGATAAGGGTATTGTTGGGCTGATTTTAACTCTTTGACACTGAACGATGGGGTTATTCCTTGACCACCTATTTGTGATGTAGGTATTGTGTGGCTGGTGTAGACTGTACAACAATATGTTATAACGATTTTCTGTTTTCGGGTAGACGTTAACAGTGTATAAAACGTGTGTCTTGTGACCTGCTTGGTCAATAATAATGTTTGATATGCAAGTTTTTAAGCAACTGTAAACTGTAGCGCAAATAGGGTTGTGCAACAGAGAGAAAAATGACCAGTCTTCCTATATTTCAGTTTCATGCAAACTGTAAAATGTAGCGCAAATAGGGTTGTGTAACAGAGAGAAAAATTACCAGTCTTCCTATATGTGGGTTTCAAGCAAATTGTAAACTGTAGCGCAAATGGGGTTGTGTAACAGAGAGAAAAATGACCAGTCTTCCTATGTGTGGGTTTCAAGCAAATTGTAAACTGTAGCGCAAATAGGGTTGTGTAACAGAGAGAAAAAGTACCAGTCTTCCTATATGCGCGTTTCAAGCAAATTGTAAACTGTAGCGCAAATAGGGTTGTGTAACAGAGAGAAAAAGTACCAGTCTTCCTATGTGTGTGAGTTTCAAACAGCAAATTGTAAACTGTAGCGCAAATAGGGTTGTGTAACAGAGAGAAAAAGTACCAGTCTTCCTATGTGTGAGAGTTTCAAGCAAATTGTAAACTGTAGCGCAAATAGGGTTGTGCAACAGAGAGAAAAATAACCAGTCTTCCTATATTTCAGTTTCATGCAAACTGTAAAATGTAGCGCAAATAGGGTTGTGTAACAGAGAGAAAAATTACCAGTCTTCCTATATGTGGGTTTCAAGCAAATTGTAAACTGTAGCGCAAATGGGGTTGTGTAACAGAGAGAAAAATGACCAGTCTTCCTATGTGTGGGTTTCAAGCAAATTGTAAACTGTAGCGCAAATAGGGTTGTGTAACAGAGAGAAAAAGTACCAGTCTTCCTATATGCGCGTTTCAAGCAAATTGTAAACTGTAGCGCAAATAGGGTTGTGTAACAGAGAGAAAAAGTACCAGTCTTCCTATGTGTGAGTTTCAAGCAAATTGTAAACTGTAGCGCAAATAGGGTTGTGTAACAGAGAGAAAAAGTACCAGTCTTCCTATGTGTGAGTTTCAAGCAAATTGTAAACTGTAGCGCAAATAGGGTTGTGCAACAGAGGAAAATGACCAGTCTTCCTATGTGTGAGTTTCAAGCAAATTGCAAACTGTAGCGCAAATAGGGTTGTGCAACAGAGGAAAATGACCAGTCTTCCTATGTGTGAGTTTCAAGCAAATTGCAAACTGTAGCGCAAATAGGGTTGTGTAACAGAGAGAAAAAGTACCAGTCTTCCTATGTGTGAGTTTCAAGCAAATTGTAAACTGTAGCGCAAATAGGGTTGTGCAACAGAGGAAAATGACCAGTCTTCCTATAGGCGCTACATTTTACAGTTTGCTTGAAACTCATATATACTCATGCCAATAATGGTTGTCACCCCCCTCTCCACCCCAACCCCCCACACACCCCACACCAATAAAAAAAATTGAGGGGGGTGACAACCATTATTGACATGAGTATATTTGCTTGCAACTCACCCTATTTTCGCTACAGTTTGTTCGTGATTAAAAAAAGGGGGGTTCAGCTGCTGCAAGAAGATGGGGTTTTTTAATGTAAATTAGATTGAGATGTGAAATACCACTGTAGTGGTACCATACCTGTCTGCTAGGTGGAAAAGACGTAACAGTAGCATCTGCTATCGACAATGATTATATGATTACTTGTTCTTTTAGAATGCAAACATAGAAACTACCTAGCAGGAGTGCTGTGAAAGTCAATCTGATTGACGGTTTGTATGCGAGGAACAAGACGTTAAGGAGCGAATCATCATTGATGTGATGTGATGTGATATGATGTGTACAGTTGTAACAAACGCCTCGGCAAGTGTTGCAGGGCACTTACAACGATGTTTATTCTTTTATCTGATTTGTGTTGGTGGTAGAAAGAGAGCTTCAGTTATCAGTTGTGTTTGATCAAAGTTACACCTATCTAGTGTTCTTTTAACACTGCAGTGTTTCGGAACGAGTTTTCAACCTTGCAACGTTTTTATAACGTTGCTATACACATACACACATTTCTACCGATCACTGTCGGGAAGTTTAGTTTGTGATTTTTATTTCGGATTTTTTTTTTTTTGTATTTTTATATTGAAGCAGAATATGCATTTCTACAAGACATGCCAGGGTAAGCCTATGAATTGTCCTAATTGAAGCAGGTTGAGGACCTTTGGCCAAACTCATAGGCATTGAGACCTAGGATCAAAGCGAATCAGTGATAATCAGCGGATCCTGTCACGGTTAAATTATTCTGCTCTGAACAACGAAATGCGATTTTTTTAGCAGTCGTGTCCCGACCTTGACCATGATCATGGAAAAAGGAAGCCGAAGATTAGTCAGGATATGATCATCCGTTTCGCCACTGCGTTGTGCTCCCTGTATACCTTTACATCGATTCGTGAGTTCTTCAATGAATAAATCTGGTTTGTAAAAACTTCGTTGTCTTGCTGCGGGGCATATTGTCTTAAAGTTATAATTCCCTTTATGGATTTTTTTTCCGATACAATCCTAGAACACCGAACAAATGGAGGACGGTGCATAGGCTGCATCCAGTAACACCTTCCACCTGTTCCCCTAACATCGCTGCTTAGCTGTCCGCTTTGCAAGAAAACAATTTCAAAATGGCCGCCGATCTAATATCTTCGCTGATTTCTTGCTACTCGTCTTGCCAGATCAAACTGCCAAGGCTGTGGGAGGCTGTATGTGTGTGACTGTGTAAGGACACTTATTATGCAAAGTGTTAACATTTTGACATTGGAATAACGAATCTAAATTGAAGTCTAGAAGGACACAAATACCGAAAAGACGGCTCTGTCCAGAAAACGAAGTATGCTTCAGTCTTGAAAAACAACTATATATTCCTCGTGTATTGAAGGTGACTTTCCGTCAAGGCTTTAAATTGATTCTCTACACAAGTAGAAATCGATGATCGAATTTGTTTGTATCTCGTGACCTTTAGAAATTCAACCCAATATTTGGCATTAATGACAATGACAGCGTCATAATATGTGCACAAATCCCGCCATTCGCTACACGATACCACTTATCATTACTCCAAGAACTAAGTATACTTTCAATGGTTGTCGTTCGTTTAGAGCAAACAGGAACATCTTATTACGCATGATCGGAACTTTGGAAGAGCGAAGTGCATGCTAAACGATAAATTGTAAGGTATGATGTTGCTCCACTATCAGGTGTACATTACGGTCATCCAACAACTTGTAACGACTCTAAACATCGAGACAGACATATATGTATGAATGGTTAACTTTCATCAAAAATATCCAAAGAAATAAAACAACTGTATTCATTTCCGTAGTTATCTTTCTTTGACATGGGTTGTACAGCTCCACCTGTCACAGAAGCCCTACAGAGATCTAGAGATACAGTAATGATGATGTATAAATATATATCGTCATGTACCACGCGGTCGCAGAAGTAGCATATCTATACTCTGCAAAAAAAAAACGCACAGGTGAAAACTCAGGAATGTAAACGCTTTATTTTGTTTCCAGGTAAAACTTTAACTAATGATCGCACGAACGTAAAATTTCACATGGATGTTGTCAAGAGTCAGCTTTACAACATGCAGCTATCATTGTCTCTGAAACCATTGCACCGGGCGTACAGATGGCGTGGAGGTCGAGTACCTGTTGTGACCACCTCGAGCTTGCAACACAGCTTGGCACCTCCTGTCCATGGACATGATCAGTCTTTGAATCCGTGCTTGGGGGATCCTCCTCCATTCCTCCTGCAAGGCTTGAGACAGTTGTTGCAACGTTTGGGGTTGAGGCTGACGACGTCGAACGCGTTTCCAAGCTGGTCCCACCGAATGCTCTATTGGGTTCAAATCAGGGTTTTTGAAGGCCAGGGAAGAACTGT